GAAGACGTCACGGGACGACATGGACTGGTTGAAAGGAATGAAAATGGTGAGAGATTTGCACACCTATGTGCCTTCAATAAACTGGTCACAGGCGGCACAATATTCCCACACAAACGTATTCACAAAACCACATGAACTTCACCAGATCACACTACACAGAACCAAATCGACCATATCTGCATCAAAAAACGTCCACCACGACGATGGAGGATCTGAGAACCAGGAGAGGAGCTGATATAGCATCAGATCATCACCTGCTGGTCGCCAAGATGAAATTTAAACTTAAGAAGCACTGGACAATGGGGCGGACAACATCACAAAAGTTTAATACGACTTTTCTTCGGGATACTGACAAACTCCACGAATTCAAGATAACACTCAGCAACAGGTTCCAGGCCTTTCATGATCTACTCAATGAAGAGGGAACTACTATAGAGAGCAACTGAAAAGGGATAAAAGAGGCAATCACTTCAACATGTCAGGAGGTTCTGGGCCACAAGGAATGGATCACTGTTGGTACACTGGATAAGATTGAAGAAAGGAGGAACAAGAAGGAAGCAATCAATACCAGCCGAACATGAGCAGAAAAATTCAAGGCACAAGCCGAACACACAGAAGTAAACAAGCAAGTGAAAAGGAGGATCAGAGCCGACAAACGTAAATATGTGGAAGATTTAGCAATGACGTCGGAAAAGGCTGCAAGAGAAGGGAACATGAGACAATTGTATGATACAACAAAGAAAATCACTTGAAATTATCGTGAACTAGAACCATCAGTGAAAAGCAAGGATGGCAAAGTAATCACCAACAATGAAGGATAGCGGAACAGGTGGGTAGAGCACTTCAAAGAACTCTTGAATCGACCAGCCCCATTGAAGCCACCCAACATCGAAGCAGCACACACAGACCTCCCAATCGATGTTGGCCCACCAACAATTGAAGAGATCAGCATGGCCATTAGACAAGTCAAGAGTGGCAAAGCAGCGGGACCAGACAACATCCCGCAGAGGCACTGAAAGCAGATGTAGGAGCAACTGCAAAGATACTCTACATTCTCTTCAGTAAGATTTGGGATGAAGAACAAGTACAAACAGATTGGAAAGGACTTCTGATCAAAATACCAAAGAAAGGCTATCTCAGCAAGTGTGATAACTACAGGGGCATCACTCTTTTCTCAATACTAGGAAAAGTCTTCAACAGGGTATTGTTGAATAGAATGAAGGACTCTGTGGACGCCCAATTTCGAGATCAACAGGCTGGATTCCGTAAGGATCGATCATGTAAAGACCAAACGACAAGTCTACAGATCATTGTGGAAAAATCAATTGAATGGAATTCATCACTCTACATCAAATTCATTTACTACGAGAAAGCATTTGATAGCGTGTAAAGGACAACGCTATGGAGGTCTCTTCGACACTACAGCGTGCCTGAGAAGATAGTCAATAGCATACGGAATTCCCGTCACACACAACAACAACAAATGCAAGAGAAGACGAGTAGTGTAGCAGCAGCCTCAGCAGTAGTGGGTCTCAATATAAACAGAGGGAAAAGCAAGATTCTCCTATACAACACAGTATGCACCAATCGAATTACATTTGACGGAGAAGCTTTGGAGGATGTGTAAACCTTTACATATCTGGGCAGCACCATTGATGAGCACGATGGATCTAATGCAGATGTGAAGACGCGGATCGGCAAAGCAAGAGCAGCATATTTACAACTGAAGAACATCTGGAACCCAAAACAAATGTCTGTCAACCAACACCAAGATCAGAATTTTCAATACAAATGTCAAGACAGTTCTACTGTATGGGGCGAAAACCTAGAGAACGACGAATGGCATCATCCAGAAGATAGGTGTTTATTAACAGTTGTCTACACAAGATACTTAGAATACGTTGACCAGAAACTATCAGCAACGTTCTACTGTGGGAGAGAACAAACCACATTTCGGAGGAGGAAGAAATCAGGAAGAAGCGCTGTTTGTGGATGGGACACACATTGGGGAAATCACCCAACTGCGTCGAAAGGCAAGCCCTCACATAGAATCTTGAATGTCAAAGAAGAAGAGGAAAATCCAAGAACACATTACGCCGAGAAATGGAGACAGACATGAGAAGAATGAAAAAAAGTTGGATAGAACTAGAAAGGAAGCCCCAGGACAGAATGGGTTGGAGAATGCTGGTCGGCGCCCTATGCTCCATTGGGTGTAACAGGGGTAAGTAAGTAAGATATTCAACGATGATGCAGAATATATATATATATATATATATATATATATATATATATATATATATATATATATATATATAGCAACACTACAACAAGGGTTAAAAGTCTACAGTTATTGATCAGTTTTATAGATAAATATATGTACTATTACTGTTAAAATGATGTATTATAAAAACTATGTGTAATGCATTGTATTAAAACAATCGAATTTTTATCAAAATAGCTCAAGTTTAACATTATGAAACAGTTTGTAAACAAGATATAATAAGTCAGTCAGTTGAAATTTTACTAAGCATAGGTCTTTTAGGTATATTTCATTGTGGCGTAACAGTTCCAACATTTAACCTTTGATTGTAGTCTTATGAATTCAAATTAGTTACTTTAATTACATTATAATTGGATAGTGTTGAGTAGTACCGTATGAAACAAACTATCTAATACATTTCTGGTTTTAAATCGCATGATAAATGAGATCAATCTGTGACGAATTCTATCTATAAGCCAAATAATATTCGAAAATAAATTGACTGATTAAAAATTAACAATCTGCTCTACCAGTTAGTTGTATAGTAATTGGTATTATATATTGCTATGTCCATTTAGAAAGCACATATGTCAAATACATAACGGACAGAGACATAATGGTCATTGCCCACCGAATATTAAATCCCAGATCATGGTGGAATGTAGACTTCCTCGACACCTAGTGAAGTCCAAATCAAAATAACTCTAAATAGTAGCAGGCTGCAAGTAAATAAATCCAACAAAAGCACATTAATAAAAAGGGGAGCCGTTGATACAGAGAACTAATCCTTATGGGAGTAGAACAATGAATAGACAATACAGTTCTGCGGTAGCTAGTAATCAACAGTAGGTTCATGCGTCCTTTGTTCTCGTAGAATTCTGAATCCCATATGCACGATTGGTTGAAGTTTTACAACTTCGTCATGTGATCCCACCGTATTAACCAACTTGATTTAGGCGACGGAGGTTCACTTTTCGTCCTCTCCACTTCATAAACAACGCTTCTGCCGTGAAAAGGCAGTGAGTGGGACATTCCTGGCAGTAGCTATATATGCGTGGCCACAAGAGAGCATTTCGAGAGAGAGAACCTTCTCCACCTTCTGTCATACCAGGGCATATATGGGTTATAACTAAATATCCGCCTCAGGTTAAGTTCAAAGTTTGTTATCAATACACTGGGAAGCCAACGGTATTGATTACGTCCATAAGAAAATAGGTAACAAAGATATTGACCATTTCACAGATAGTCTTGTCTTTAAAAATTTGGTATCTCTGGTGGTGAACCTTTATTTTTATGAAGCTATTAAATTTAGTCAAGCGGTCATAAAGCTCAAAATAGAAAGTGATGATCCTGGCGTAATTTCCTTTTATAGTTTTTAGGAATAGCATTGGGGGAAATTTATAGATTGCAAGTCTTTTACCATAGTTGTCTTCCAAACATTCCTAGTAATTGTGAAATGACCGAGTGAGCAATCTTAAGGTTAGTCATAGGGTAAATAGGCAAAGATAGGGAATCAGTTTGTAAGGTTCTGAATGTTCATCGGCTAAGGTGGTTGGGACATATATTGCGTATTCCCAACCACCACCTAGCTCGATGTGTGATGTTAACTGAAATAGTAATTTGGAATGAAGCTGGAAGTGAGAAACAAAGACAAAATGTGGTGTAAGTTCATGAAGTCATTGATTATTAGTTTAAGTAATATTGATAGATGGATACCAACTGCTTCAAGTCAGTGCAATAAACACGATCAATGGTTGGAGACTAGGTAACATGGCTCAGAATCGATCACATACATTCACTCTTGATCTCGTGCAAAGACCTTCAGTTCCAGTATTCCTTCAAATCAACTTCTTCATTTTATACTTTTATATCATATTTACAATCCTTGGTCTTTCTCATAAATAATTACCAATAAATTATTTTGATTCTTTTATTATTACTTCCTGTTCATTTTAACTAATCGTGACAACTTGAACTAACATACGATTATCACAGGCTTTAAATTTGATTATCAATGAATATCAGAAAGGGGTTTTTGTGGAGATTTAGTATTTGCATAGTTGAAAACATGAGTCAATTGAAGCTAGACCACCATAGAAAATCTGGAAGCACTGGACGGCCATTTCGCCCTATTGTGGGACTCCTCAACAGTGCGCATCCACGACTTTTCCTCACGAGGTTCGAACCCAGGACATACCAGTCACGCGCCAGAGCATTTAACCGATAGACTACTGAGCCGGCATCCGATGGTGTTAATGAATAATTGAAATCATGAGTCAGTTGAAGCTAGACCACCATGGAAACCCTGGAAGCAGTGGACGCCCGTTTCGTCCTATTGTGGGACTCCAGCTGTGTGCATCCATAGTGGTCTAGCTCCAATTGACTCACGATTTCAACTATATATAAAAAATTACTAAAAAATCTCCACAAAAAACCCCCTTATCATATGCTCACTAGTGACTGGCTTCTCCAAGAGATATTTTCTGTAATTCTAGTGAGAAGCAGTAACCAGTGGAGTTCAACCAGGTCTGTTGGGAGATATCAACTCACTAAAGACATTGGTGAATTGGTTAGATGCCCGCTCAGTGGTCTATCAGTTAAGTGCTCGCGCACGAGACTGTTAGATCCTGGGTTCGAATCTCACGAGGCGGAATGGTGGATGCGCACTTCCACAGAGAAGTCCCACAATAGAATGAAACGGCCGTCCACTGGTTCTAGGTTTTCCATGGTGGTCTAACTTCAATTGACTCATGATTTCAACTACATACATAAAAATTACTAAAAATCTCCACAACCCCCCCCTACACCTGAATATTAAATTTTAAAAAAAAGAAAGAGAGAAAACTCAATAATAATAAGATTAACTTACCAAACAATAAATTTTGATTTAGCATAAAATCCATCAGTTGATGTACCAAATGATACATTTAATAAACGTATACTAATAGGTTTTAATTGACTATTATTATTGTTACTAGGGTCATTTAATCGATCCGCATAAAATATAGATGGAAATGCATAATTAATTAGATCATATTGTGTTATATTATTATTATTATTATTGTCTAATAAATCTTGATGTTTACTAATATAAACATTACGACTATTTTGAACTGTACGTAAATCATTATCAATAAAACAAGCTGGTTTAATTTGAATAAATGCTGATGGATTCGTTGAATTCTTGAAATATTGTTCATTAGTATCATTATTATTGATTTTAGATACGGATTCACCCAATAAAATATTGGTCATCTAGTAGTTAAGAAAATAGGTATAAATATATAAAAAGAATGATTTGAATGAATGATAGCAATAAATTAACTAATATTCAAATGCTAATAAAGACCGTTGCTGCTACCTTGACGTGGTGGTTGGGATTGCTTGTCGTGATGAACCAATCGAGCTATACTGGCTGGAACAATAGTTCCTCAAGGTCCTATCATGCCAGAGCCCTCAAATGCCCTGATACGGTCGAGAGTGGGGAGAGTCCACTTTCCTTCTCCAAATGCTCTCACATGGCCACGCGTATATAGCTTCTGACAGGGAAGTCCTACTCATTGCCTTCTCGTGGCACCGATGTTGTTTACGAAATTAAGAGGACGAAAAGCGAATGTCCGGCGCTTTAACCAGGTTGGTGGACACGGAAAGTCCACCTAGGGGAGTTGGAAAACCCTGATTCCAAACCAATGGTGCACATGGGTTCCAGTATCCTGAGGGAACAAATGGCGTATAGATCAATTGTTGATCACCGGCTACCATGGGACTGCATCTCCTCACGATGCTCCACTGCCTTGTGGATCAGACCTTTAGGTCAAAGGCTCCGGTTGTGGTCCTCAAGAAATCCATATTGTACTAAGTGACACTGACTAAAATTATTATTATTGTCTTGCTACATAACATATTCACTTGGATTAGAACACATTTATAGGATTAAAATATTGAGTTGATTTGTTTATCTTACATCTGATGACTAAGTTTTTATAAACACATGAAGATAAGTATAAGATGACAGGGAAATTTTGTAGTCCAGGTGGATGACAAGGGTACGTTGTTTATTATTTGCAGTGAAATTCAAATACTTCACTTATATCTGAAGTTGGTGCTGATATTATACAGAAGAACAATGAAAACTTCACAACAAAATCATCCAGCTTAGAGAACGAAACTTGAGCAAAAACATAAATATGAATTTTTATAATCTACCTGATAGACTGACTCTAATTGGACAATTAATGTAAACCAAGAAGAAATGAACGGCTATATTGTCTTATTATGAGAGATTATCATTCATAACTGTTATATCCTAGCGAAAACATAAGTACGGGTATCTTCCGGGACCTGTTAATGGACGATTATTCTATATATATTCTTATTGTTTAACTATTGAGTAATTAGATTGTATATATCTATATTCATCTCATTATAAGCTTCATTTTGACCTGTGGATTATTATTATTATACGATTTACTGTCCCCAAATTATATTCAGTTTATTGATTACTGTCTCGCACGTTCACAGTCACATCTGGCTTGATCTTGTACAAATATTATTTTCTATTTTATGGTGTGATGCGGTCTGTCTATCTGTCTGTCTGGTATATGAACCGAGCATGCTTGAAATAAATGATTCGTATAGCAGATGCAATTAGTGTTTTGGATTCCACTGGAAGGGCTAGGCGGATAAAGAACCAATAAGGACGCTAGGCTGCTCATACCGGTCAGACGTCATTGTTTTGGTACAGTGTTAAGATTGGAAAAGTCATATTCCGATTGATGAACAAATCACGTGATAAATTCCGGACATAAAATCATAACAATGATCCCACAAGGAAACGAACTCACGACCTTCATTAAGTCTCTAAGTGAGCACTTAACGTTCAGATAAATGACCCATCGTTCAATGGTTTACATTTCTAACTTTAATCAATCCGCTAAATAGCGCGATCAACTTCCACTGTCATTGGTGAGTAAAGCAACTATCTCATACTATGCACAGTTGAACTCCACTAGTCAAACCTTTTCATCACTACAACACCAGAAATTACCCATAAAATTTGTCAGTAATGTGTACATAATAAAATTCATTCTACTTTCTGGAAAGGAACATTCTTTACATGATGTTGTTTTCGTTTCCAGGAAAAAATATATTACCTCAAAATTTCCAGGTGTTAATTCATCATCAATACTTAATAAAACTTCTTTACGAAATTCTTCAGTTGGATCCAAAGTTAAATTTGACATCATCATTAATTGTAAACCAAATCGACTTTGATTAAAATGACTAGTTAAATTATTAAATAAAACATCAAATTGAATAATCCAACCAGGTTTAAATAATAAATGTGGCATATATTTATGATGTTGAGTTGTATTGCTTATTCGAAACTGAAAATTAAAAGAAAAAATTCCAACCGAAATAATAAATTATATAGAAATAACTGTGAAAACTCGGTTAGAAGGAAGCTAAGAGCAGCCAAACTAGGATGTGACATCAGTTCATGAAGTTACTGACTACTGATCTGAGCTGTATAGGTAGATACAGACTATCTGGTTATAGTCTATTTGATTAACCTATGGTTGACGATGTTAGGTGGCATGGCTTAATGTTATATCCCGATAACAATCGTGAATGGTAACTTTGGGATCCATTTATGGACCAATATTATGCATATATTTTTTATCGTATAATTGAAAAATAACTAATATCCATGTCACCCTTATTATAAGCTTTATTTTGACTTATGAACTATTATTATACGATTTACCATTCTTGAGTTATCCCCAGTCTATTAATTACTGTTCCCCCTATTCACAGCCACATTTGGCCAAATGTTGTACAAATGTTATTTTGTATTTTATGGTACGATGTGGTCAGTTTGTTTGGTATATAAACTCAGTATGTTTGAAATACAAGGATTCATACCGCACAGGCTGTTATTGGTGTTCTGGACTTTACTGGCTGGGCTAGGCAAAAAGTAGGGCCGATACGTACTCTAGACTGCTCGTACGGTTTTTGTGTGTCACTGTTCCAATCGATAATTCGTTGCTCTCTGATTGACGGTCTTATCGCGTCATATATTAACTGGGCATCCACTCGGCCACAAGATATAACACTTAAATGCATTCACCACTTACGTCCTTGTGGCAACAACGGCGTAGTAAGAAAGATTAAATCCAATAGTATTATTTAGTGATGATCCGGGGTAAAAATTCAACGTAGTGTGAGAAGGCCTAAAAGGATGATATAACACTGTTATAATCTTCAATCAAAGGCCGTGGCCAATAAATCAGAAGAACAGACGGCGGAGATAGTGTTTATATTTCAACCAATGCGGTAGTATATCAGTATATGTATATTCAAACAATTATATCCGTTTTCTTACGACTGATACAGAGAAACAATAGACATTGAATATGAATGTGGTTACATATAAAGTGTGACATGGTGTAGCAACTTGAGTTAATACACAAGTGTCAGGTTCTACGTTGTTTGAAGCTGAATGATATGCTCTGTAATTGAAATTAATTAATCCCTTTTGTGTTTTGTCTCGTTGATTTTTGTGTGTCCTGTGCTGATTTAAGATGTGGTTGATATATAGAGTTGTGACAGATTTTTGTAATCGATAACGGTTCATAACCCCATAAACTGATAAAATGTACATATACCATACATAGACCCATATACCGTAATCAATACAATGGTTCGAATAAAATTTACGTAAAAACAAATAGTTGTATACATTAAAGAACAAAACTGAGACTAGAGTTCTATTATATTTTTTTTAACTTGCCTTAATAATAACTTGCTCATATGGTGAAGTCATTTTTGGACTAGTTCCATTGTATGTGATTTCAAATAAATTATCTTCAAAGGATAATGAACTATCGTTGTTTGAATTACGCTTCCAGTTATATTCATTTAAATGATGTATTCGAATTTGATCAGAATTTCGAGGATAAATGGACATGTTTACATCATCAGATAAATCATTATATTCAAGCATCTAGTTTATTTTTAAACAAACAAGTAAAATGGAATATATATAATATTATATCTCTGAATAAAAGAAGAGGTACTTTTTATAACGTGTTCAGAATAATTTATAATATTGTAAAGCTTATATGTTATGATAATATTCTTCGTAAAAACCCAACAAGGAATGGATGCTTAGAGGTTGTAGCATTTGCATTTCACGACTAATAGACTGCGACGTTAGAATATCGCTCGACCTACTTAGATTTGAGCAGCCAATTAGTATTATACCACAGACACTCCTACAAACGCTAAAAACAAGTACACGAACTCGTACTGAGTAAAATGAGTCTGATTAATGGGTCTATTTTTGTCTTCTCCAGTAATAATGACTTCACTGTGATATGGTTGGAGAGTTTAGGCAAATCATGTGCCTGTGCCCAGATGTCACCTCAAGGTCAAGCGTTGGGCAACAAATTATAAGTGGATTATGTTACTGAAGGAAACCGACTATGTTCCTAGTCAAGGTTTCGGCCCACATAATCTGGTGTAGGTCAGAATGACAAATATACGTGTACTTTATTATTCAGTTTCCCGATCAAAGCTTACTAGTCACGCATCATTCTTTTCACTAGCCTAGCTCGTTGAATAAGAGTGTAGAAAGCCTGGATATCTAAAACAGACTTTGTGGATAGTAAAAATTAGATACCATATGTCTGAATACAGAGGTGAAATCTGAGCAGAGAAAATATTCCGAACAGCTTCACTTGGATTACATTTTCACAACAGTAATTTATAAACGCTATCGACCTTAGTTAACAATTTGGGGAAAACAAGAGAGGAGAATAATAGATAGGTGGTATTCAAAATTTGATAAATTGTAAGATTAAATGTTAGCTTATGACAGAAACATGTGATGTCTTTATATTCTACGTTAAGCTGTTAGGGAGGCTGTTATAAACGTATAACAATCGTTATTGTATATGAAACGTGCAATGATACGGAAAATACGTACGAGCAGTCTTGATTGCTATTCGGTCCTTCCTAACTGCCTAGCCCAGCCAGTTGAGTCCAGAACACAAATAACAGCCTCGGAAATATGAATCATTATTCACAAGCATACTGGGTTTATATACTAACCAAACAGACCCCATATACCAAAAAATAGAAAAATAATATTTGTACAATAATTGGCCAATGTGGCTATGGATAGGGGGAAAGTAATCAATAATAATAGTTCAAAGGTCAAAATAAGGTTACGGTAAGAGGAACACGAATACAATTAGGTCAGTTATTTAACAACTAAACAATAGGAATTAGGCATATTACCTTTGTCCATAATAGACCTCAGATTTACCATTCATGATTCACCAGGGGATATAACAGAGGCTAACTTTTAGAATTTATAAACATTGGATTTAGTCGGTAAATAATTAACTTCAATGTAGATCAATCTCCTTAGACCTCTCAATAAATCCTTACAAGATTCGTCTTTGACATTAGTCATGATCATAAGTGAACTGTTGTGTCTGATACTAGGATATCGTTAGAATTATTGTAGCTATCTTCCGACGTATCATAAATGAAGAAGATTCATTTTTATCAACACAATATCCGAAAACTAGGATAAATAATCAGTAGGATGAAGTAAACAACTACATTTTATTTGTTTTTATAAACAAGGTCATAAATATTACAACAGCTATCAGTCAGTCAGTTACAACGTAGAACTTCGTACGTATGTACATCAGTTCGAGTTGCCATACCACATTAGCACAGAGATGAAGTTGTCGATTCAAATCCCATATTGGTAGAAGTAGTAAGAGTATAAGTATTATGTGAAAGATAAGGGTTTGAAGATATTATTGAAGGAGTATAATACAGTGAAATAAATTTGGAAAAAGAAAAAGGATACGGACATGAAGAATCCAGAAGATTAGAATTTGGTAGAACACAAAGAGTGTATGCATCTTTGCCATTGCAAATTACAACAGCTATACTGAGATTTATAAATCTCTCCCATTTGAATCATTTTTAAGTGTTATCAGTAGGTCATAAAAACAAAATAACTGTATAACTGCTAATAATCCAGTACCCAATCGTATATATATCGTAAGGGATATATCTGACATAGTTTATTATTTATTTATTTAGAAACATAAATATTGGTACAAAGGGGCACCAGATACATATGCGCCACACAAATCTCATTTGATTTGTGTGAGGGCTGTGATACTACCAGGATGCCCAAACCGAAGCATAGTACTGAGAGTTTATTAAGTACAAACTTACTTTATAAAATACAAGAGCATATGACTGGGTCACATTACCGACAGTTAACCTTTTTCCAGAAGAAAAATTTAAATGATCCCATTCTATTACAGGATTAGCTTCAGCTGATGAACTGTGAATGATCAAAATTGATGGGAGAGAAAAGCGTTCTGATGCTGTTATAAACACATGTACTGAAGATGTTAAATTACGTCCATTAATGTATATCACATCATATTTGTCACATCCTTTCGAAAGATTACAATTTGGATTATGATTTATAGTAACCTGAATGTGTATTATAAATAAATGTTGAAATATAAACTTACATTCCAAGAACCTTCTGCAACATAAGTAAAAGCAAATATACAGATCACAATGAGAAAATTTGACATGGCTGTAGTGAAATGTTAGGAAATAGTTTCAAAACTTACTTGATGACACGCCAGTACGACTAGTATGATAGACGAGGTTGCTCAACAGTTTTTAGAAATTTAGATAGGTGCGACTTTCTAAAAATAAATCCAAAAAAGCTCCATCAGTTGTCATGTGAACTACTAGCTTATTGTACTCCATGTTAGTTTTAAAAAATTTTAACAAGAACACCAGTGGATTGCCTGAAAATAACCCAACTACCTAAATGAAAAACACTTATAATATGTATAAAGCGCTTGAACAGAAAACAATTTCGGAGTAAGAGTAATTTAGAACAAGGTATAATCTATAATGTAAAAGGTGCTTGAACAGAAATTGATTAAGTCGTAACATTCTTTGTACGATGTTATCTGAGCAATATTCCAATGGTATATCGGTCAGCTGAACTATATCAACGTAGACTATTTGAAGAACGGGACAGCGATTAATGACTTCACAGACTTTTGAATTATGCAACCCTGTACCTTACCTAACCAATCCGAACGTTAGATGATATTGCATATTATGGTAGGCGGTCATCAGGAATGTGTAACCCACACCTTAATCATATCAGTCAATTAAGTTCCGCACCATCATAAATCGGGTTGTTAACTCTACATAGTACCTTTATCCTCATTTCAACATAAACAACTTTGTGGTTCCATCAGATATGAGGGGTGTTTCTAGGACAACTATGACTGAGATTGTATAGCTTATGCATGTCTTCTACTAAGATATTTCGACTTTCTCGAGGATCTGACTAACATTATCTTTGCTCATCACAACAAGCGTCTGGGTGAGTTCATGAAAATGAATTGTTCCTTATTTCATAATTATACTGAAGCGCTGACATAATTGATAATTAAATTGTGTTATGTGGATAACCAATACGTCTAAATATCATTCTTAAAACGTTTTACCAAAAGAAGAATCAGTTTTGAGAACAGTAAAGAATAATAGGCGTTCATAAATAAAATGTATACCTACGACATCTAATATATTATAGTATCAATCATAACAAAAGATATTAAAATTTGACATGACTTTCGTAAAGAACAGAGAGTTTTTACTAAGGTGTTGTAGGGTTTTAAACATTTCTAGATCATAATTCCATTTGTCAAATCCCTAAGTTAAGTTCAGAAACTCCCAGTGACCAAATTCACTTATAATTAGTCTCGATTTTCGGCTGTGCACAAAGCAGAAATTAAAAAAACAGCGCAGGAAAGTTTTGCGATACCACAGTGCCATTGGACCCTGAAACTAAATCAACCGCTTATATTCACGATCATATACCTACTACCCAATATATTGCAAATACTAAGTATAAACTGAATAAATTCTGTGAGCTGACTTCTTAGTATTAAAATATAGCTGCAAGTCTTTTATATAGTCTAATTTGCCTAGTTTGGCTACTCTGGTACTGTAGCTGTAAATAAAGCCCGAAAATAAATAGCTATGTAAGTGTTTAAAATTAGATGCTGACCACATTGGTTTTAGTGGATTCGTTTAGCTGAAGAATCTCAGTCATGCTGCCGTTTCAGATCACGTTACGGAAAGGCATGGGAAACATCTCCTACGATCATTAGCCACATTAGCCACGTTTCAAAAAGGGCAGTGACTTTAATACTTGTTGTGATTATCGTTGCTTTTGTGTATTTGTTGTATCAAAAGCATTCTTGGTCTACTTTAACTTGAATTAATTCAGTTAGGGTTTGAAATTTTATTGAAAACTTTGTCTCGTGGTTCCTTCTTTTGCATATACTCTGACGCTTGTGTTATTATTGTGATCATATTGTGTTTTAAACCTAATCTAATTACAATGGTTGCCAGTTCATTCAAATGTGGACAGCCAAACTGTTTATTCCCCGTAGATGAAGGGATGCAGTGCGATAAATGCAAAAAATGGTTCTACAAGATGTGTACCCGTCTCAGTCCAGCTGCATACAAAAGATGCTCTAAGCCTAACTCACACTGGCTTTGTATGTTCTGCTGTACTAACAAGACGACATTAATCCAGGAGGCTATAAGCCTATTGGTTTTAGCCTGCAAAAAGAAAGATAGTGGGTGCGCTAGTAACGCAAGCACTGACAGTGAAGACTGTGTCAGTGTAGTAAGTGATGTTACAAAACGCGCTGAACAACCTACTCTAATTAATGACTAAGTGAAACTTCCGTTACAACAAACGAGGAGTAAATCACCACATGGTATTGACATGAGTAATCACGCATCTTTAGTAGAAATTGAGGACCCGGATAAAATCGTCACCATCCCCAATAGTCCCAATGCAGCTGTCCTGAATGACCAAAAATGGACCGCAGTAAAGAGGAAAAGAAAAGGAAAAAAAGCTTATGATAAGCACACTTGGTTGACAAGCCATTGAGGAACTCACAGTCTGAGTCACTCAATGCATTATCGCACTCTGATAGAACGGCAGATCATCATCCTAGTGCGACTGAGAGGAATTCAATATCATCGAATATTATTGTGAGTAAATTGCCAGAGTCTAACGATCCAGATCCTAAGTTAAGACACACCCATGCCTTAGAGAGGCTCGGAGAATATATCCGTAGCATATTACCAGATAACACTAAAGGTGTTCAGGTCAAAAAAGTAGTTAGAATAGGTAAAAGGGCTGATGACAGTGTTCTACCCCGACCGTGTAGACTCCTTAAGGTAATCTTAGGGTCGGAGAAACAATGTAATCTTCTGTTTAGTAACGCTCGAAGTCACGACAACTCTGACATTCGAATGAGACCGGATGTGTCTCTTGAAGATAGAATAAAAAGGAAGACGGCACTAGCTGAACTAGAAACCCGTCGACAAAACGGTGAAGAAAATCTCCGGTTGGAGGGTTTTCGAATAGTCAGGTCTTGGAAGCGAATGCTACCAAGGCCTGTGTGGATAGGTCGTTCCCCCTAGGAGTTTTATATGCCAACGCCCGTAGTCTAAAACATAAATTCTACGAGCTAGGAACATTAGTGGACAAATTAAGGCCACTCATTGTAGCTGTGACGGAAACTTGGTTAGTCCATGACTTCGATATCACCCCAGAATTATCCGGATATCATTGTTTAAGAAGTGATAGACATAGATGCAGGAAAGGAGGTGGCGTCCTTCTATACATAGCCAATAGTATAAATATCCGCTCCTCCGTTTGCGAATCCCATGATAGTGGAACAAGTGAAGTCATTAGCTGTGAACTCACTGTCGGATGTTGTACATTTGCACTCGGTGTCATCTATCGCAGCCCAATCTGCTTAGCTGATGACTTTATTTTAGAGCACATTCGGCTATGAAGTGCAAATAACAGATGCTTGATATTAAAAGACTTTAATGCACCTGACATTAGTTGGACTGAGATGACCACGAAATGCTCTATAAACTCATTTGATAGCAGGCTCTTGGAAACAGTATTAGTACAACATGTATCCAAACCTACACGTTTTGGTGTAAACCAAAATTCTTCTCTGTTGGACTTGGTAATTACCCATGAGACTGTGGATAATGCCAACCTAAATATTCTTCCCCCGTTAGTAAATAGCGATCACGCTGTTTTATCATTCACGTTTAGAGCTAGCGATATGATATACGATCAGATTAAACCTCGCCCAAACATATGGAGAGCTAACATACCAGCCATTCGGGATTGTGCTACTAAGATAGATTGGTCAGTAGATACTAGCTCATCAGTTGACGAGGCGTGGTCTGTATTTAAAGGCAAGTTTAGTGAAGTCACGTCTCCGTTCATACCATACTTGGTGCCACGTAGACCGAACAATAGCCCACCGTGGATAAATAAAGAAGTTAATAAACTCCCTAGGCGTAGAAAAAAACACTGGAACATGTTCATCTCTACTGGCTTAGAACAGTACAAATCTAGTTATTGTAAGATTAGAAACAATTTTAAAGCGTTAATTAGTAGGACTAGACGGTCATACGAAAAACAATTGGTTAGGGATTGCAAACATAGTCCAAAACGGTTATTCTCGTATATAAAGAGGCGAACTCAGAGAAGTGATGGAATACCATCACTTTTGGTACAAGAAAATCCGTTAAATTTGGCAAGAAATGATACTGAAAAAGCTTCCGCTTTTTCGGAATATTTCAGTTAAGTTTTTTCTACCAATAATGAGGAACGATCACCTATTCGTTGTGATTGTGGCGACTTGTTGATGGACCCTGTAGTTATTAAGAAAGAAACTGTTTTAGGCCTACTTCAGCATCTCAAACCTGATAAGTCTAGTGGTCCTGATGATATTCACCCTCGGATTATGAATGCCCTCTGAGATGTTATTGCTGAACCCTTAGCGATACTGTTCGATATGTCCCAACGGCAGTCCAGATTGCCCAGAGACTGGAAGGAAGCAATAATCAGTCCGGTGTATAAGTATGGGCGTAGGGATTTAGTTAGTAACTACCAACCCGTTAGCTTAACTAGTGCAGTTGTAAAACTAATGGAAAAGATTATTAGGATGGCTGTTATAAACTACGTGGAAAAACATGATCTTTTGTCAAAGGAACAACATGGTTTTCGAAAAGGTCTATCATGTTTGACAAATCTTCTCATTGCAAGAGAAGATTGGGCTGAGGCAAAAGATCGCAATATTCCTGTAGACGTCAGTTTCATAGATCTAAGTAAAGCCTTTGATAAGGTTTCCCATTCTGGTCTTAAATTGAAACTAGAAAGTTTTGGAATTCATTATGCAGTCATAGACTGAATAAGTGACTTTCTTCATGAAAGGAGACAAAGGGTAAGAGTAAATGGGGCTCTCTCATCGTGGGAACCAGCAAAAAGTGGCGTCCCCAAGGCACGATTTTAGGTCCTCTTCTCTTTTTACTCTATATAAATGAATTACCAGCTATAGCTAAGTCATCCGTCCTACTATTCGCCGATGACATTAAGATTTGGAGACCCATATATAGTATGTCAGACAGAATAGTTTTACAGGAAGATCTTAACTCATTAGTGGCATGGATGAATGGGTGGTCACTAGAAGTAAACCCTAATGAAAGTATTGTGATGCAATTAAATAACTACGATGATTCGCATCACTACACAATATGTGGACTAGTGTTGCCCAAAGTAAGAAACTATAAAGATTTAGGAGTTATACTAAGCAACGATCTCAAAACAACCAGTCACTGTAAGGATGCTGCTGCAAAAGGCTATAGGGCATTATGGTCTATTCGTAGATCTTTCCGGTATCTGGATGGGGAAATGTTTAGATTATTATACCCAACTTTCGTACGGCAACATTTGGAATATGGGATTCAAGCAGCGAGTCCTTGTTTCAAATATGAGGCGGATATGTTGGAACGAGTCCAACGCCGCGGGACAAAAATGGTAAAAGGCTTGTCTAGCCTATCTTGTGAAGACAGACTGAGACACCTCAACTTATTTCCGTTATCTTACCGGCGAATACGTGGTGATCTAATATTGGCATATCGTATCCTGAACGATGACCTTGGTACTAACATGTCCTATCTTTTCCTCCCGTCTAGGGCTGGTCATTTGAGAGGACATTCAAAGAAAGTCCAAAAACCGAGATCAAATCGTCTACGTCTGGAGTTTCGTTTCTCGCACCGAGTAGTGAATTACTGGAATTCTCTACTAGAACACGTAATATCAGCACCTTTTGTTGATATATTCAAGACGAGATTGGACCTCCACGGTGTAACAAACTGCAAGGATTAAAATAGGTCACTTGACCTCTTATCCTTATTACTGAAGACTGAAGACATCAGATCAGTCACTTCTTGATATATTGATATATCTTCCAACCTCCTCGCTTCTGATTTTTGATTTAACTGGGTGGGCACGAGTCGATTATAGGTGTTACTGGTAAATAGTTGCCAAACTACAATGCTGGTGGTATCTTCAGTACAATACCTGTCAATGAGATAAAAATCACCTTGGTCTATTTTATACCAGGCAAAAGGAGATCTCAGCTATTTCTTAATATTCAGCCCAGCAAAACTGGTCAGTTTTCAATAAAAGTCAAGTCAGGCATCGCAGATATTTCAAGATTTTGTGTATCTGTAGTGTTTTTGTGTCTTGATATTAGGGGACATCGGCAGATCTCTGATAGATCCAGATGACACATTAATCTATACGTTCGGCTAGACCCAACTTGCATTTGGGGACAAGTTTATTATAAAAAATTCGTAAACTCATTTGCTTCGGAACTGTGGGGTAATTAGAATAAAAAACCACCACATCTACCAGATGCTTAATTCATAACATCGGTGTCATGATTAGTGAAATAAGTTGTAGCGATAAATAAACCCCAAGATAAATAGTTCGGCATGTCTTCGACATTTGACGCTGACCTCATTAGTTTTACCGGATACATTTAGCTTAAGGGGCTCGGTCATACTTCCACACCAGATCACGAGTGCGTACGCCATGCTACGCATCTCTTACAACTGTTAGAGAGCTAAAACCAAACGCTTCTCGGCATATTGATAGCCTTCCGAATCTATTTTCAAGCTTCTTCATTTCTGACCTATGATTTGACTGCGTTAGTATACTTTGATTATAAGTCTTAATAGTAGAGGGTTTGTCAAACTGTCAATGCTTATGGCGTAATTAGAGAATAGCTAGAAGTAAAAAGTTTTAATTAGCAGCGGTCTCGTGACCATAAGTATCTATCAGGCGGTCACTGAGAAATGTCTTTGTACCTTGAGTTCAGATTGTAAGGCGCTTCAGTACTTCGGTGGAGATTTATTCAGTAACAAAACTTCTCAGCCACCCACAAGGTGAGATTGTATTTTTGGAGTGCCACAACTGGTGAACATTAATTTTAGCCCCTATATCCTGAAGAAGATTAAATTTTGGGTGAATTATGGGAACTATTTATAGAATGTTATGATGTGTATATTCTTATTGCATAACTTAACTAACCAAATTTTGTATGTATTTATAATAGGCTTTTATCTGACCTATACACTACCATCATACGAGTAACCATTTTCGAGTTACTCCTAATTTATTGGTTGCAATCTCGCATACACGTAATCACTTTTGACTTGATCCTCCATGATTAATATTTTTTATTTTGTGGTATGATATGTTCTAGTTTGGCTTATATATAAACCAAAATATGTCCAAAATATATTATTCATATTATGGAAGCTGATGTCGGTGTTCTGTACTCATTAGACATGGTTAGACAAGGACTAATGTGGACAAGAGGCTGCTTGTACTGGTTTGTACGTGATTGGTCTAGTCATATAAGCCGGTATTCCATGTAGTTAATAATATTACATGATATTAACGGGTCAAAAGACATAACATGGGTAATTGACGTAGCCCTATTACTGAAAATTAAAATAAATGGAAGGCAATGGAGGTAATAAATATTAAAATGAGATGGGAAAGAAAACTGGAAATGGTGAGTAGTGAACAGAAAAGGATACTATTCCATGTAATACCATCCTCCACCGTTTATATTCAGCACTGCAGCTAGAGAAATGCAATAAACTAGCACCGATAACGTTGGTGATAGCTAATTGCACTAGGCGTAAAATATATAGCGTGGAATCAAACAGCAGACACTAAATTAAAAACTACACGACAATATAAATACTTAAGATCTAAGAGAAAATAAGGATGGAACAAACCTTAGACATTATAAATGATGTCTTCAACATTATGAAAGTTGCCACTGAAGGCAAGATGTCGACATAAATACATATATATTCCTTGAGAAATAGCAATGTTGCAGAGCTATACCGAATATTTTCAAAACATACCACAACCATACACCCAATGGTTTACTCAAGACTACGTCTGGCCTATGAGTCAACAGTAATGAGGTTGATTTCATTCTTATCTGACACTTCCAATTTGACTAAATAAGTCTGTTAAAGGTCAGTTTATGGATCAGATAAATTCCACATGTAGTACTTCCATATCTACGAGGCTTACTCAGTAGATGTCATGAAGCTTCCAATGAACATATTGGAATTCCTGCAAGCTACGTCAGCTTATTTGCACTCCACATATACTAGACCCCGTTCACCGTAAAGTAAAGTTCAGTCGTGAAACTGTTTAAGTCACGTGGCCCTAGTCTCAGTTCAGTACCTCTACGTCTCTTCATCTTGACTTTCCTCGACTCCAATATCATAGTTTTCCAATCCTCTGCTACGGCCTAAAAAATTAATAAAGTTATACAAGACACAGTCAGTACGGATTGCTGCTGACCTTAACGTGTACTTCGATGTACGATTCAGTACCAAATGACTAGTATTTTAAGGAACAGATACGATCGGCATTAAAGAATGATTGGACTGGATTTTAGGCTTATTTCACAGGCCTTTGTGCGCAGCGAGACTGGATGTCTTTCCCTAGATGTCATCTAGCCGATGATATACCAGGCGAAATCCTCTCGCAAATGATCTATGTTTGATATTTATATATTATTACCGAGCTTTAATATAAGGGATGCCCAGTGTTCAAATACCATACTGTATTTAAATAATCCGGATGACTGCAAAGGAAAGAAGTAAGATAGCTACCTCAAGTTTGGGTTTTTTGTGGGAAACTCACTAAAATATCACATTATTTCCACTTAAAGAGTACTTCCACTTGTACATTATCAACTAGTGAACAATTAATTTTGAAAAGAGGATTCCATTCGAACTATAGTAGTAAAGTTAAAACACAGAATTCTGGGTAAGTGTTTGGGCAAAATACAGTTGGCTATCTACATGTATAAAAGCTTTGCTACTTTCGAAACATCACCTACGAAACATCAAATAAAAATCGCTTTGTGGAAACTCAGTTGTTGAAATCTGATTGCCTCGATATCCCACTTGAAAATCTTGTCTGAATTTCTCTCCATAGGTGATTGAATTTATCCAGGGCTAGTAATGTGTGATCATTTTCAAACCGTGGTTGCCTTCGTTGTTTGATCGTGAGTTACTTAATGTGAAACATACATTTAGAGACACCATTAGCCTTAACGAGTTTCGTTACGAACAGGAATGAATTAACATAGATTGAAATAGTGAGGCACCCGGGAAATGTGTGAACGTAAAAATAAACCGTTGTCAGTAGGTGTCTAAATGTTGGTCATGATTGTTGCATCGTAATCACTGATCAAACGACTAACCGTCTACTGACAGTGATAGATCCCTCACTGAAAGTACATGTGGTTGCAAAGGCGTTAAAGCCCTATACGAATAATTCCACTTCTTATTACCTCGAAAATGCTACAGGTATTCGGAGTTTGACGACGCTTTAACCAGTAACACCTTGTATTATGAATCGCACCCACCTAGTCAAAATCAAAAGACAAAAGTGAGGAGGTTCGAAGATATATTTGATAGGTTATCAATGTATCGCGGATCGACGGATCTAATCTGGCTAGCAATTGCAAGGGATTTTGAGAGCGTCATTTCCATTCGTGATCTGATGCGGATGCATGACCAAGCGCCTTCAGCTAGGTGAGTTCATTCAAACTAATTTGATCAGCATATAATGTTGACAAATTATAGAGTTATTTATTTTGGGGATTTATTTACCGCTACATCAGGAATGTTGTGAAATACTTTTTGGTTCCTGTTGTTCACTAGCTGATGTACAACCATGATGAAAACAACATTTAAATAACTCTGAGTCTGCATAAATCCATCTTAAAAGAACGTTATATAAAATACTTCGGTTATTCATGACAATTTTTTTTACTGCAAATCATGAAACTCATCCACCTCACATTGGATCAAAACAACAACTCATATGACTTTATGTAAGCTTTATCTAGACACATTCAAAGCATTTGAAGTCATATGATTCATTCAACGTACTTCATTTGAACATTGGAACTAGTAAATCTTAAAATTCTTAGACACTTTAGTAAACTTACTTCGTCTGACACAGCTATAAACTCATATCAAGGAACATATCCAAGACTATGGCATCCGGGAACCAGTTCTGCCCAACGATGACAGGAAGTAGGATTTTTGATCTTCGATATAAAAAATTCTTCACCAATTATACTTCATCTATAAAAGCCTTAACGGTGTTGAAGCGCAAGTTGAATGAAATTTAATTAAAAGTTATTTGCGAACGGGAAATTCAACTTCCATTAACGACGATTTCATATCTTATCAATGCAAATCGGAATGTACTATAAGAGAATGAAGCATTTGAGATGCAATACAACAACGTGCTTTAAACGGGCATTTGTGCAAACAAATGCGAAAAATGAACCAACGGATTCAATGAATTGCTAAACAGCATAACAAAACATCTAACTAACCAACTAAATGATGAATATATAAAGTACTCTGATGACTAATATAATTAAAATTTAACTCGTCAATCTTCGGAATAGAGGATATGAAATAAAGCAATGTATTGAATCCACAGATACTGATTTACCTCTACAAGCCATATGTCAGTCGAAATATCACAAATGGATATTCTGGATAGTTTTAGCAAATGATCGAGTTGTCCAAACAAGGTTGCCTTACAATGGACATCTGGAAAAGATAAGCCTAGAATAAAACTCAAATATTACTACGTATTTAAAAATTGTTCATCATTTTGAAAGTTTGAAAATGTTAATACACTAAAACGTCATGAATAAAATTCAGTTTGTTTTATTGTACGAATAAACATTTGATAACCTTGATATCTATAACGATTATTTGAGGAAATTTAAAAATGAACAAAAATTGTCAAAACATTTTTTATTATTTAGTAAGCTACTCAGAGTCAAGATTGTGAATACCATCGCTATAAATAAAGCATGGACTATTCTCAGCACTCCGATAAGACCGTTAAACTTTCCGAACTACTTGATCTAGCTCTTGGAACACCTGATGTAATAGATATAATATAAATCATAAATTTATTTTAGCCAGGGTCGGTTAACTTCGGCATACTGTATATCATTTTATCACATATTATAAAGCACCTCAAAATCGACTATGTGGAGCCAGATGTAGAGAAACCTTCAAATGAACCACAGTCACGGAACGATGCAAAAATATCAACTTCTGAATTGACCCCAAATATTTTCCATAACATTCAAGTAAGTTTGTGTTTATAACGTTTAAAATTCTGTTGTAAATTTTTATTTTTGAGATTATTCAATTAACGTTCAAAGTATTTTTTCCAGGTTTATTTCAAGGAGCCATAGCACAGCTGGGTCAGGTATTAAAATCTTCCTTAAGTAGTCATATATTAAATAATTGATCAAAATCGGCTTCTAAATAAATAATTATGTTTTTTTCATCGTTAGATATGTTTAATTAGGCATTTAAAACATTCCACAAAATAACGAAGGTGTAGTAATATGTTCTTCAAGCACATTTTAATCTGAAAAATTAAATCAGTTTTGAAAAACTACACAATGAGATGGATATTATGAGCAAGCATCACTAAATAAGTATACGAATAATATAATAAAATAATAACATTTGATTTATCGCCTTCAGTAGATATGTATATTTTTTTCAACACTACATTTTCATGATTTTGGAGGGTCTGAATTTTATACGGTTGTTAAAACTTGATTTTTGAATATTTTCTGTCGCATGGTATCCTTTAACAATGAATATCATCGTTTTTTGTGAGCTTAAAGTGTAGGAGAAGTAACGTGAGATGAAGTAGCTAGCTCAAAAATAGGGACATAGTTGAGAAGTTAAGCTTTAGATTGGATACTGGTAACCATAAAGTGATATCAAGCGGACCGTAACCCGAATTTGCTATCCTCTCAGCATAAAATTTCCAACAGTCAAATGTGTCATAAGATGAAATCCCATTTTGAAACGGCACTCATAAATGTTTTACATCTTAATTTCATCCCAGCCAAAACTACTGAAATAGATTTTAGCCAAAGTTTCAAGTTTAATAAATAGTTTACGACTAGGGTTAGTTTTATTCATATTGTTTTCTTATAATGCAGCTTTATATTCATTTTGAGAAAGATAATAATTTAATGTGAATGTTGTGGTTATTTTTTTATCTGACCCCTATTCCGCAATCGTAAAACAACAAATATGATTTTTAATCGAACCCGGGACATTTAAGTGGTAGATGTTCCTTTTACCAATCTGAAATCTGATGACGTATGCCAAACAGTAGTTTTTATTAAGGTCTAAAAGAATTCTAACTATAGGCTAGTGCATCAGGTTTGACCCTTTTCTAGACAAATGGTAAAATGACAAGCCTTTTGAGCAAAAAATTAAACAATACCAAGAAGATGATGGAAATTAATAAGAACTTTGAAATATGAATAAAAATTCGTTTCAACACTCACCTTATGCTCTACCAAATATTTCATAAGAAAAAAGTTTGAACTAAGTTTTTTTAAGCTGGACATTTATGTAATATTATTTGATTAAGAAGACAACCATACATTCTATTTCATATAAATGAACTAAGAGTGGTAATCAAATCCGTGTTGTTTGGATATTAGTGCTAATAAGTTCGGTCTGAAATATTTATAACACGCCCACTAGTCTAAATGACTAATAGTTAAAGTTTGTCACTAATTGGTGTTAGGCGGTTTGAAGTGATTAGTAAAACGATGAGACAAGAGTGAAAAGAATTTTGTACTGTGAGATGGTTTAGTTCTATTTTTTAATTTTGATCACACCCTCAGTGTGTTGAAAGTAAACTCATGTGTGGTGAACCGACAAATTATTTTATGCAAAATCCCACAATGCCTTTTTCAAATATGAAAATCACACGTTGAATGCATTATTTGCAAATTTTCAGTGACTCTTCCTTTACGTAGTCTATCATTCCTCCTTTTCTCATGTTATCTCGGTCACTCTCTGTTTTTATTCTTGTTGTTTTCATTTCAGTCTTCTGTTTATAAGCATTATACTTTCAATTCTTCCTTAATACTACTCAGATTTGTCCGAATAGGTAGCGCACACCACACTTGTACGTATATATATATATAATGAACTGTGATTACAGCACATGATTTAACATGAGACTAATGACAATGGGTAAAAACCCCAATGTTCATCATCATCGTATTAAGAAACCAAGCACCTAGACCTATTCAGTCTCTTGATTAAAAATCGCGAATTTTTATGGCAAACCTCAATACCCTTGTGATTATACTGTAAAGCAAATGACTCTGCCAGATACATACAACGTTGTCGTGCACTGTTATAAGTAATTGATAATAATTCCTTGGTGAAGGATCAAAATAATTTTGTATAGCAAAAATAGTGACTGTTATAAATAAGGTTTCGTAGCTATTTATGATGCTTTTATCATCAGAAATTTCAAAAAGAAGGGTTGGAACAACGAATAATATCCACGAACTGGTTCACATTTTATGCAACTAGTTCGTCTCACTATAATATACTAAGTCAGTGGATAGTTAAAAACTTTCATATCTGTTAAAAATAACTTAACAGGGTATGAACAGCTAAACTGTATTACCTTTGTTAAAGCTAACAGATGATATTCATAAAGAAATCATAAGCTTTATTACTACAGAATAATCATGATAAAAAAGAGTGGTTGATAATAACCAAAACATCTTAGCATACACAAAATCAGTCACTATCAAGCTAGCAATTCATTGCAATTATGTCTTCACTTAAATTTCTCCCTGATCATTTTGAATCTATTGTTCTAACAGATGACTATCTTAACCAATGGTTAAAGAATCAGGATGACATGGCTCAAAATCGATCACATTGACGTAGGTGTACACACTCTCTGTGTTGCCTTAAACTATGAGATTGAAATCACTTCACAATTTTCTTTCTTTCTACTTACTGATTCTTTCTTCTTGTACTATGTCCTTATACACAATCTTTCTTTTAGATATTACTACCACTGAATTAACTACTTCTATGAATCTGGTGTTGATCTTGTTATGTTACTGAGGTATGGCAACTTGGACCGATGTACATATGTGCCTTGTGTTACGTTGTAGCTGACTGACCGACTGACAATAATTTTGATTTTGGTTACTCTTAAAATGTCTTATTTTTTAATATGGAAATGATCTTTACTTCCATATGGAGGTTGATTTGATGATCTACTTGATGGTAATAATCAATCAAGCAATTTTAAAGGTTTCTTAGTTTCTTATTGGTATTTAAACCTCATTGTATCATTTTTGTTATAAATAAAACTATGATAGATTGGATTCGAGCTAAGTATATGTAAATAAACCTCATTGAAAATCGACTGACAAATGAAAAGCAAACTGATGAACCGTCTACTAACATTTAACGTGATGTATTCACCCGGATAATAGAATGATGTCTTCTTATATGATTATTGATTTTATCACAGTTTTGTTCCATAATTTCTCGTGTTTTTCGATTTTTTAGAGTGAGTGTTGTAACTATGTAGCCTGTCATCGTTGTCCATTACATTACATTTATTGGTTTCCCAACTTTTGAGGAAGCATAAATTGGGGAAATGCTCCTTACCACAGTTCTAGAGTATAGACAGAAGGGCTTTCATGTTTTTTCATGATCCATTGCAAATATGTAGTACAAAGAATTCCTAAGGTTCGGAATCAGGATCATGTTAATAATGAACTGTATAAAATTCAAGATCACATTATCCCTCAGAATGTACCACAGTAGCGGCATCTGTGGTATTTGGCAGCATTATTAGTGAAGGCTCGGATAGATCTTTATATATCCAGTGTAGTTATCCAAATGTGAAGTTTGAATGCCATTTCGGTACCAAGAAGAGTATTACTGGGAACTAAACAACATCTCGTCATTTACTGGACATTTCCATCACTTGGAGCAATTATCACGAGATGCAATTTGTTGATTTCCTCAATGTATGTCCTATCCACTTCCACCGTCTTCTTCTAATTTCCACTTTAGCTGGAAGCTGGTTTGTTCTCTCCTACAAAAGACAGTTGCTGATGGTATCCGGACAGTGAATGTTGAGTACCTTAGGTGGACAACTATTTATAAATATTTGTACCTTCTTGATGATGATTGTAGTAGTTCTTCACGTTTCAACTCTGTACAGTAGAACTGTCTTGACATTCGTATTGAACATTGTGACTTTGGTATTGGGTGACAGTTGTTTTTAGTTCCATATGTTCTTCAATTATAAGAATGCGGCCCTTATTACAATCTGGAGGTATTTCAGAATAGTAACTCTTGAAATGAAAGTCAATAAATGATAATCATTCAACCTAACTGTTTTGAATTCATAAACAAAGAATCGATTAATTGCCTATGTCTAAAACTAGTACATATATACTAACATATATATATATATATGTGTAAACAAGTAAACAAGCTTGATAAGGTATACAAAAGAAACTATTGTTTTAATTATGATGACCATTGTTATTAAAAGAAAAACAATGTCACTTTTCTAGATACCATAATAAACAAACAAACAAACCAAAATAGATAAAAGTTTCCTCTTTAATTGTTCAATGACTTACCTGAATTTTACTTGTAAAGATTATAATAATATTAATAGTTAAGTTAATGAGTGAGAACTGGGTTGCACTGAATAGCTATTTCATCCTAGTATGAGTCTCTTCAGCAGTAAGCATCCAAGGTCTCCACATAATCTCCATTTCTATAATTATTATAATCACTTGCTCACTATTGACAAGCTTCCAGATAGATTTCATGGAGTTTTAATGAGAGTGCAGTCTAATCCATGTCAGGTAGAGACATTTATCTACCTCAAACAATGGATTAATGTTTGCGTGAGATCATAGATCGATTGAAGTTAGACATAAACACCGTTGCATATCGATCAGCTCAGTGGTCTGAATATTAAGCGTTCGCGCGCGAGATCGAAGGTCCTGAGTTTGAGACTCATGTGTGGGATCGTGAATGCGCATTGCTGAGGAGTCACATACTAGGACGAAACGGACAGGTTTTCAATTGTGATCTAGTTTAGATTGACTCATGAATTCAACTGTTAAAATTTTTCAAAGTTGAAATCATGAATTGATTGAAGCTATATCATCATGGAAAACCTGGAAGCACTGGACGGCCTATTATGGGACTCCTCAGCAGTGCTCATCCACGATCCCGCACCCGCGAGATTCAAACCCAGGACCTACCAGTCTCGAGCCAGAGCCCTTAACCGACAGACCACTGAGCCGGCATTCAAAATTTTATTTATTTAAATAATGCCGATAATCTGGTTTGTTTGTTCTGTAAATGTATAGTTATGTCTTTTTGAAAAAGTAATAAATTCCAAAACTTCTTCAAGTAAAGCATCAGAGACTTGTCGGTAGATGAGTTCTTGTGGTTTTTGGTGAAAAATGGTAGCTAGTAAAAACTCTGATCATATGCAAATAGCTACAATAAATTGTGAATTGACTAATGTTTGCTATCAGTACTTTTGAATTCTAACTTAGCATTTCAAAAGACATACTCTTACAACGAACATTGAAATGTTCTGATTTTTGGTCGATTAAATATCTCCTGACTTATTCGCCAATCACAATACGACTTTGACAATCTTAAAACAGTACCAAACTAATGACGTGTTAACCGGTACGATCAGCCTAGAGTCCTTATTAATCCTTCTTTCCTAATCCTGCCTGTTAAGTACAGAACACCGATAGCAGTTTCCATTATATGAATCTTATATTTTAGATATACTTGGTTTATATACAAGCCAAACTAGACCACATCATACCTTAAAATGGAAATTAATAATTATACGGGATCAAGTCAAAAGTGGTTGTGATTATAGAAAATTGTAACTAACAAACTGGTAATAGCCCGTATATATTACTTACATCAATGTGACTACTTCTATGAATCCAGTGTTCATGTTATGTAATAAGAATATATATATGATAACAGTCCATAAATAGTTCCCAGAAGTTATTCATAGTTTAATCTACGCTAGGATATAACATGAAGGTTTTAAATTTGATACCTAATAGGGTAATGGGAAGTTCAGCGTTCCGTTTTTCTAAATTATCGGTTAACAGTCTTCAGCAAAACTAATATATCAGTGAGGGGTTGTGGAGATTATTAAATTTTTGATTGAGATCATCAAACGATTGATGTTAGACCACCATTGAAAACCTGAAAGAACTGGACGGCCGTTTCGTCCTATTAGATATATTAGAATTTATGCAGACAAACAAAATCTCCACAATCCCATACTGATAATTAGCATGTACTCACTAGTGACTAGCTTCATGAAGGATTTCTCAGAGTTCTAGTGAGAAGCTGTGATCAATGGAGTTGATCCATAGAGATAGGTATCTACGTCAGTACAATGACAGATAGTCACGCAATTTCGTGGACCAGTTGAGATTAAGACATTAACACCGTTAGATCCCGACTCACTGGTCTAGAAGTTAGGCCTTTGTGCTCGAGACCGAAAGCCATGGGTTGGAATTCATCGAGCGTAGTTGTGAATGCACAATGCCAAGGAGTCCCACAATAGAATGAAATGGCCAGGTTTTCAATGGTGATCTAACATCAATCAGTTCATGATCTCCATCGAAAACTAATTCTGTTTTAATATTGTAAATACATACATATACACACCTAATTGATCACTTCAATATCATATTACTAATGTGCTTGAACAAAATCAAATAAATCACTATTGTGAATGTCATTGTTCCATAATCTTCATCTTTATAAAATGTATGTTTGTATATCCATATGAAGTATACCCCCCTCCCACTATTAGTTGTTATTTATCAGATTACTTATTTTTTGTGTTATTATTTTAGTAACTATGGTAAAGTATAAAAGTGAAATTATTTTAAATAAAAATTATATGTGATTTTGTTTATTTTGGTAGAACGTTTTCTTCCAATGTCTTTAACATTGAACAAAATGAATGATGTAACAGATAGATAGATAGATAGATAGATTGACAGATGAATAGTCCTAATGTGTTGGTGTCTGATGAAATCTCAGCACGGATTTAAAAGATTTGTTTGGCTTTTGCCAACTTACGTCACCTACAGCGAAGACGAAATATCCGTCTATCAATTAAGGGACGAGTATACTGATTAGCAGTTCGTTTTGTTCTAAGTTAAAGCTGCGAAACGTGACCATAATGAGTCAAAGATACTCGTAAGCTACTAGTGTTTGATCAGAGATATTTAAGAAATATTGCTCGTATCTGCTAGGATCACCAGGTTAATAATAATGAGATTAGATGTAGGTTACTACGGAATGATGGTAAATCAGTAGATGGGGTTGTAAATCTTCATCGACTGAGATGGTTGGGCCATGTATTACGCATGCTTGAACATCGATTACCACGACGCGCTATGCTGACTAGTATTGGCGATGGTTGGAAGAGAGTTAGGAGCGGCCAAACTAAAACGTGGCATCAGTGCTTGAAGTCACTAACTTCTAGTCTGAGCCATATTGGTAGATGCAGACTACTTGGTTGAGGTCAGCGTGACCATCGTAACCAATGGTTGGAGACTCTGTTTGGCATAACTCAGAATCCATCACAATGGCGTAGGTGTATACATTCCTTGTCTTCCATTAAACTATGAGATTAAACTTACTTTATATTTTTCTTTCTTCCTGTATAATATCCTGAAACACAATCTTTCTTTTATATATTACTAATATCGATGCGACTACTTCCATGAATCCAGTGTTCATGTTGTTGTGCTAATGAGGTATGGTAACTTGGACTGATGCATATATGTGCCTTATCCTACATTGTAGCTGAATGATCAAGATCTTAATTCATTAAAAATTAAAGGATCAATAATGTATACGTTTTGTTCATATTTCATGTATAACCATGTTATTTTCTAAAATAAAAACCTACTCAGAAGTGGTTTTGTGGAGATATCAGTATTTTTCATAGTCGAAACCATGAGTCAATTGAAGATAGATCACCATGGAAAACTTGGAATCGCTGAAGGGTCGTTTCGTCCTATTTTGGGACTGCTCAGCGCCAGTGCACATTCACGATCCCACCTTACGAGATTAGAACCCAGGACCTACTAGTTTCGCACGCGAGCACTTAAGCACTAGACGACTGAGCCTGCATCCAACGTTGTTAATGTCTAACTTCAATCAATCCACGAAGTTGAGCAACCATTAACCGATTGTTTCACAACAGACGTGGTCCTGAGTTCGAATCTCGTGAGGCGAGATCGTGGATGCGCACTGCCACTGAGAAGTTACACAGTAGTATGAAACGGCCGTCCAGTGATTCCAGGTTTCACATGGTGGTCTAGCTTTAATTGACTCATAATTTCTTTTTTTTCTTAAATCAAATTTTCAATGTTTCTTTTCATATTTCTACAACTGGAACTTATTTATTGAATAGTTATGAATAATAATAATATATGACGGTTTTGTTTTGTTTAAACGTATGAACTGACTACATTAAGATAACCCTACATGTATGATCATTTGTGACTTTACATTACGGAACATAAAATGGAATAAATTAATGCCAAAAATAAAGGTAATCGATATTAGTGAAAGTTATATAATTTCTTCAATTTATTCATCAGTGGAACAATGACAGTCCATTCATTCATCTTTTAACCAATAGGGTATGTACAGGCTTGAATTGTAGTAAACAAAACACTAGTTAGAGACAATGGAATGTAATTGACACGAAGATTACAGACTATTTCACTAAATCCTTTATTTCAGTTCTTTCCTTATCGATCTTCTGCCAAACTACATTCTTTGTCTGACCATCACCATATACTACTTATATGGATATAAGTAGACCACACTACACGCATCCCCTCCCTTTAAAGCATTCGTTCATGCAGCGGTTCTGCTTGCCATGCCACTTTATTCTTTCACTGCAGTCTGTGTTAAACTTTCCGTCAGGATGTCGAGTCTGCGGTGAGCTGACCTCCATAGCTCCGTCGACCTGTCGGGGCACCAACATCCGACATCCACTTACTATTGTTTTACTTGAATCTTCCCATTGATGTTTTTATAACTGCAAACTGATCAGTCTGTCTAATATTGACATTTTTTTAATACTATACATATCACTTGGATGTCACTGATGAGTTCAAAAATCGGACGAAATATGAGTTATAAATTCCATAATGGTGAAGGTGCATTTACTCTTTGTGTTCTGCCAAAAATTATAATCTTTTGAATTCCTCATGTCTTTATCTTTTTTCTCTTTCCAAATTTATTACATTGGATTATACTCCTTCAATTCCATCTTCAAATCCTAATCTTTCAGATAATTCTTATACTCTTACTACTTCTATCACTGTTGGATTTGAATCGATAACTTTATCTCTGTGCTAATGTGGTATGACAATTCAAACTGATGTACGTACGTACGTACGAAGTTTGACGTTGTGACTGACTGACTGACTGACTGAAATATCACTATTAAGCACTATCCATCTATAATTATCATCTTACATCATCTTTATTCTTTGATTCTTTTTAGAAAAGATTAACAACTATAGAATCTCAATTAACATTATTAAATTCTTTACCAAATAATGAAGATATAATCAGTTTAATTAATAAAGATAATAATAATAAAAAGAATAATCATTCATTGGATACATTAAATGATGATTATAGAATAGTAACTAATTTATGGCAAACTGTACAAACTAATAAACGTTTAGATGCTACAGAAGAAGGTCTTCATCGAGTAAGTTCATCATCATAATAATAATAATCTATGTATGTTGTACTTAATCAATTCTACTATGAAAGTTGAATAATATCTACATAACCCCTTCTCATAATCATCAACATATGCTCACCAGTGATTGGCTTCTCCAAAAGGTATTTCCTGAAGAATTCTAGTGAAAAGCAGTGACAAGTGGAGTTCAACTAAGTCTGTTGTGAGATAGTAACTCATTGAAAATAATTGGTGGATATGTCGTTCAATTTCGTGGATTAGTTGAAGTTAGACTTTAACACCGTTGGATGCCCACTCAGTGGTCTAGTGGTTAAGCGCTCGCGCATGAAACTGACATGTCCTGGGTTCGAATCTCGTTAGGCGGGATCGTGGATGTGCACTACCACCGAGGAGCCCTACAATAGGTTGAAACGGTCGTCCAGTGCTTTCAGGTTTTTCATGATGATCTAGCTTCAATTGATTCATTATGTCAACTATTAAAATAAATAAGTTATTAAAATAAATGACTGATATGCTAAACAAGGATCATAAAAGATCATGGATTAATTGAATTTAAATAATAACATTGTTGAATACTGGCCAGCTCAATGATCTAAATCTTAAGCGTTTGAATGTAAGATTGACTGTTTTGTATTTAAGTCTAGCATACGAAAATCGCGAATATGTATTATTGAAGAATTCTATAATAGGACAAAACAATAATCTAATGCTTCCCCTTTAATCAATGATTATCTAGTTCAGATAGACCAAATGATTAGTGTTGGAGAATGCTGGTCGGTGGCCTATGCTCCATTGAGTTTGAAATATAAAGATGTATCCCCTAGAACAACAGGAATAGTGTATGTTGTAATGTCAATGAATCTTCTTTCAGTATTAGTTTTTCGTGTTGTTACTTTACATTAAAGAGATTTCAGTGATTCTAGATCTCGAATATTCAACAATAGAATGACGTTTTCATAATAATGATATTGGTCATTAATGAAAGGTTAATGTTAGTTGTATGTATTCAACAGACAATTCTGCTTCACTTAAGTATCATGCTAGTTAACATTCATCATCAATGTTTCCTTGTAATCTTGAAGGAATTTGTTATCTCAATTGGGATTCGAACCCATACCATCCAAATTTACAGTCTAAGGTATTATCATTGAGTAATTTGTTTCTGTATTGACTGATCACTGAATAGTGAACTAAGTAGTCATATAACAGTATGAACAACAGAATTCGATCACTAACTATTAACTCAACTACACAAAAATAGTATTGGAATCTTAATAATATCCACTGCTTATTGATGTGTCTGATTAATTCAGGATCTTATAAACACATGGCGGCAATCCCAAAAGGTTCTGTATTCGATTCTTAGTGACGTTTGAGATATACATTGCCAAAAAGTCTCATACTTGAACAAAACTTCTTTCCAGTAGTTTCCTGATTTTCAATGAATACTTGACTAAAGCTACTTGATGATATAAAGCTATAAGACTTTAGTGACGAATTTTTGGAAATCTGTTCTTAATTTTGCAAAAGTTTACACTTCAAACCAGCATCAAATGAAATACTGACTAAATGACTCAGTAAGAGTAATGTTCGTTGGTATAATATATATCAAAATCATCGTTGATAAACAAGGAGGATCGAATGTAGATGTAAAGGCGAAGATTGGCAAAGCAAGGGAAACATTTCTACAATTGAAGAACATATGGAAATCTGAACAACTGTCAACTAACTTCAAAGTGAGAATCTTTAATACGAAGTGTCAAGACAGTCACACTTTACGGAGCTGAAACTTCGAGAACTACTACATCCATCTTCAAGAAAATACAAGTATTTATAAACAGTTGTCTACGCAAAATACTCAGCATTCATTGGCCGGATACTATCAGCAACAGCGTTTTATAGGAGAGGACAAACCAGATTCCAGCTGAGGAGGAAATTAGGAAAAGACGTTAGAAGTGGATCGGAAATACATTAAGGAAATCACCAATGTGCATTACAAGGCATTCCCTAACTTGGATTGGTGAAGGGAAGCGGATAAGAGGAAGGTCAAAGAACACATTATGTTGGAAAATAGAAGCAGATATGAAAAGAATGAATAACAACTGAAAAGAATTGCCCAGGACAGAGTTGGATGTAGAATGCTGGTGAGCGGCCTATGCTCCTCGACGAGGGGTAACAGGCGTAAGTAAGTAAGTAAGTAAAGGGATAATATCGGCATCTCACCAATAGGCGCATCACATTTGAAGCAAAAACAGAGAACTTAAGTATAGTTCAAGCAGAAATCTGAAAAAAGAGTTTTCTAACTTCTATTCGAAGAATTACATTACTCCCTTTTATTTAATTATATGAACAAACAAGATGTGCGTGTGTATGAGAATCCTATCCTATTGTTGATATCCATTTTTATTTCTATATTTAATGTTTTTATAGTTAAGCTCCTTGACAGATGACCTACTTGGACAAATCAAAAGATTTTCAGAACAAAATAAAGCATTGAAATCTGCACTTGAAGAAGTAAGTAGTATAAAATGTTTGCATTAATTTTCCTTCATATATATCAATATTTGGGGTTTTTTTGTGGAGATTCTTAGTAATTTTTTTTAATATAGTTGAAATCATGAGTCAATTGAAGCTAGACCACCATGGAAAACCTGAAAGCACTAAACCAGACTTATAGGTCCTGCGTTCGAATCTTGTGAGACGGGATCGTGGATGCACACTGTCACTGAGGAGTCCCACAATTGGACGAAACGGTCGTCCAGTGCTTCCAGGTTTTCCATGGTAGTCTATCTTCAATCGACTCATGATTTCATCTATATCCATATTTAACGTATCTTGGTTCCTTAGAAAGATATAGGTAGATAAGGATTGACTTTGGGCCTTTTTGGTTTATTAGAAACCTTACAATATAATAAATTCATGTTATTCAGCAAATCATGTTCATCTCGCTTCATTTAAGTATCTAAATATAAAATTTGAACAAGAACAGTAAAATGATGCAAAATTATTTTAACTACTTATAAGTAGGTAAATTTATTTTTCGTAAAAAATAAGCGACAGTGATAAATAATTCATATATTTTGTAAAATGAGCTATTTCCTATTCAACTACAAAAATTCCTTGATTGATTATATTATCAATATTCTACGCCAATCATATTATGTTTTTAATATGGGTAAGTTTTTGTATTCTTCCGAAACATATTTGTGATTGATAGTTTTACTTTTATCTTAGTGATATCATTGATTTAATCGAAGGGTAATTAGATAGACAGGTATTTCTCATTTTGTTTACCAAGTCATTTTACTGTCCTCAATTAGATCACACTGATTCTAGAGAGTTCTTTCCTTTTTTAAATTGTTAGACTACGGTGAATAAAGTGCGATAGAAAATTAGTTTATAAGTTGAGATTTTAAACTTTTAAACAGAATAAATCGATCTTTGGCTTTTAAAATACTCAGCTATCTATCTATCCACACCATCTATCTATCTATCTATCTATCCACACCATCTACCTATCTACCTATGTATCTATCTACAGCATCTATCTACCTATCTATCCACACGAGCTATCTATCTATCAACACCATCTACCTACCTATCTACCTATGTATCTATCTACAGCATCTATCTACCTATCTATCCACACGAGCTATCTATCTATCAACACCATCTACCTACCTATCTATCTATCTATCCACACCATCTATCTATCTATCTGTCATAATGACAACAGGTAATTTCAAGTTATCTGAAGTTAGGAATTGTTAATAACTATCTTCGAATTCCGAAATCATTATGTTATGTGGATGCGCACTGCCAGTGAGCAGTCCCACAATAGGACGAAACGGCCGTTCAGTGATTCCAGGTTTTCTATGGTGATCTAGGTTCAATTGACTCATGATTTCAACTATGGAAATACTGAAATATCCACAAAAACCCCTTCTGATCTAAAGCAATGAATTTATATGCTAGGTAACATAATACATGTTTATTCATTGAAATATGTTATAGATATTTAGTTTTTATCACTGAATATTGACTGATGATACTAATTTTTTTAAAATGAATTAAAAATAATCTCGCGAGGCGGGATCATAGATGCGCACTGCCACTGAGGAGTCCCACAATAGGACGAAACGATCGCTCAGTGCTTCTAGGTTTTCCATGGTGACCTAGCTTCAATTGACTCATGATCTCAACTATATAAAAATAATAATCTTATACACTTAGTTACTAGTCTTCACTAGTTTTTTTTATTTATTCCTATCTCCGTGCCACTGGATTAGTATCAACTGAAGACTGAATAAATGTGTTAATTTGTTTATGCTTAAATGTTAAAATGCTATTGACACTTCCTTCATGGAGGCATCTAATACAATTATCTCGTATAAAGACATACCCAAATTGTAGATAGGACTAATACCTACGATATCAGGAAATTGACAAGCTACATTTTCAGATCAGCTGTTCGAAAAAAGTAACATTCCAGATAACCATTTACTTCATGTGTCGTCTTAGTAGCATCTCTGAACCCATGGATATGTGCAGCTAGCATCTCAAAATCACCTAAGAAGTAAAGATAATAATCAAAATTATACTGAATTTGAAGTTTCTATTGTTCAAATAAACGTCATTGCAAATCAAAAACACCTAGGGGGATTCTTTTCTTTTCTTAGTTTTCATGCATAAAACTAATGACAATTTACGCTGTAGCTCCTGGCATCAGTAAAGAAAGAATCGTATTCTTCTGGTCGGTTATCAAACGATGAAAGCTAGAGTTTTTTTAATAAATGAAACTCAGCAGCTCATCATTATGACTTGTTAACCATCTTGATACTATATAAAAGCCTTCTGTCAGCAGAATAAACATCTAGGACTCACAACCACTACTAACAGGATGTTTAGATTAATAGATGCTTCGAAACAAATCTTCGTGTCGTTTAATAAGTTTTTGATTGCTAAGGATGGCTCTGCCTTTTGCATACATATTTCATATATATAAGTCATTTGAATTTTAACCACCGTCTCGTATTATGTTATAGGGAAAAGTCACATCCCCACAAGCTCTCAGTTGTCTCAATAGTCCTATCTCTATCGAAAATCCTTCACCAATGGAAATCTCTTTGAATATCATATCAGCTTTACTATTTGAGATGTATATGGTTGATAACAATGCTGACTAGAAGTGATATTGCCGAACTGAATTCATGACTTATGTAGATCCGGTAATCGGCATTTTATTGACCGGAAAAAGTGACTTATTCATTGATGAGAAAAGGATATAGATGAATAATGGATGGTAGGGGGGGTGTTTCTAAACGAATTTCCTATTTAAAAGATGTTATTCTATGTTCCGTAATTGATCAGTCTCTTATTGACATATGTGCATTCTATGCGGACTGCCCCGATATTGCCTTCATTCACAAGCATTATAAGCAAAGATGAATAGTAGTCAGCAGTGCAATCCAGAACGCTCCACTTGTCCTCTTTGGGGATATTCAGCTGGATTTACCTGCATCTCAGAGTTGATGTTTACTGTGGGGCCATTCGTTTCAACCGCCAACGCGTTGTCCACTTAGTTACTGAGTCCTATTAGCTACTTGCTTGTGCAATGGGATCAAGTTTCAATTCACTTGGTATTGTTTGTTTGAATGTTGCCATTGATTTTTAGGATTGCAATCAGGACTTAGTAGCGTTTCAAGGGAACGATACTGAACTCGAGTTACAGAGTGAACATCAACTCTGAGATCCAGGTACATCCAGATGACGTGTCCCAAATAGGGGGGGGAACGCGCTTCCTGGATTCCACCGCTAGCCACTGATCCATCTTTACTTATAATATTCAATATAGTTATAGATAATTTATTTTAAAGTACATCTTGCATAATGTTCGTTTCTTCATCATCTTTATTTGACTGAAATAAAAAGTATACTGTACTTTTCTAATATTATCTATGAAGTGCCTTTCATACTTTAGGTTGAAGTGGAAGGGGTAAATATATCAATACATAAGGACAATAGTTTATTTTGTATAGTTTATTAAGTAAATAAGATAGAAACAATAATGACCCTAGAACCCTTATAGTTCAATCAAGACAGAGATAATATTAGATAATGTCATTGAAGAAAAAAACTAGCAAGAGCGTTATATAATCCTACTTTATGGCTGTGGAACATGGCCAGTAAGAGTAGAAGATATTTGTAGGCTGCTAGGATTTGATCATAAGTGTCTTCGAAGAATTACTCGTATATTCTGAGACCACCAAGTAAGTAATACAGTTGTTAGTAAACGGGTACTAGGTAAGGATGGCAAATCGATTGATGAAGTGGTGAAACTTCATCAGTTGAGATGGCTGGGACATGTGTTACGTATGCCCGACCACTGACTGCCCCGACGTGCAATGTTTTATGGTGTAGGAGCAGGTTAGAAGAAAGCTAGGGGCGGCCAGACCAAAACATGGCATAAATCCATGAAGTCACTGACAATTGGACTGAGCCATGTTGGTAGGTGTAGACCACCTGGTTGGGATTCAAGAGATGATAGTAATCGATGGTTAGAGACCTTGAGTGACATAGCTCAAAATCGTTTGCAATGGCGTAGGTGCATCCAATGTTTGTGTTCTGCCAAATTCTAATCTTCTGAATTCTTCATGTCCCTTTCTTCTTCTTTTTTTCCAAATTTATTTCACTGGATTATACTCCTTGAATAACATCTTTAAACAATATCCTTTCGGATTACTGTTTATATTCTTACTACTTCTACCACTATGGGATTTGAATCGACAACTGCATTTCTATGTTAATGTGGTATGGAAACTCGAAGTGATGTACGTACGTATGAAGTTCTACGTTGTGACTGATTGACCGCTGAGCTATCTGGGTCATGACTGACCTCCCATAGGATTGAGATGTATTTACTTTTGATTGATCACTGGGTGGTGATCAATGTCATGTATGTCAGGTCCTTCTTAGTGTAGATCGAATCCTATCTATTAAACCTTTCTTTAGTTTTTCATGTCCTTTTTCAATTGGTGTCGGATTGTGTCGTAAAAAACCAGTGATAATATTCAGTTTATTGTATATTAGATTGAAGATAAAGACAAAGAAAAAAACATCACTGATGAAATATAAACTTCAATCACTTGTTTACTTGTTTACTTATATCTTCCCCATTGCATAAGCAGGTGACTATCAAAATTCAATAGGTTAGTGGATAACTTAATAGCATTTAAAGCGAACGTCACTAAAATCGAGTTCGATAGTGAACATCAACTCTGGGATACATGTGCACCAAACTGACATATCTCAAATAGCATGAAGCGTCCCTCCTTGAGATTCCACTACTATCCATCTTTGCTTATAATCTTCAATTGAAAGCATTAGTCAATTGAAGTTAGACTACCATGGAAAACCTGGAAGCACTGGACGACCGTTTCGTCCTATTTTTGGACTCCTCAGTGGCAGTGTGCATCTACGATCACGCCTAACGAGATTCGAACCCAGGACCTACCAGTCTGGGGAGCGTGGATGCTCACTGTCACTGAGGAGCTTCACAACAGGACGAAACGACCGTCTAGTGTTTCCAGATTTTCCTTAGTGGTCTATTTTCAATTGACTCATGCTTTCAACTATGCAAATACTAAATCTTGAGATGGTGGAGAAGATTTGTAGCTCAAGTAGGTGATTTTGATATAAGTTTGTTCTCTGAGCTGGATGGTTTGGTCATGAAGCTTTCATCGTCCTTCTACCCGAAGTTAATGTTGATGATGTCGTGTACAGAAGGATGATGAAAGCTTCACAACCAAACCATCCAACTCAGAGAACAAACCTACATCAAAATACTAAATCTCCATAAAAAAATCCCTTCTGTTATAATCTTCAATGTTTATTTACAACTCTGATGTAGATTCCTCTATTGATAATTGCTAAGGTTTTACTTTTTTCTTCTTAATATTTAAAAATAATAAAAGATTAAAACAAATAAATCAATATTCAATGATAATTAATTTTCTTAGGCTTCTCATTAAAAATTTATTCCTTTCTAGTTAGTAGTAATATAAGTAGTATGTTTTTGGTTTTTCTATCCAACTCATACATTTTTAATGAGCATTGTAATTATCTGGTCAATAATAGGAGAACATCATATTTCCCCCCTTCCCCCCCCTTTCAGTAATAAATACTAAGGAGTGTAATGAATCTATTCTATTGAATAAGTTAACGATTATTTGAATCCAATAGATGATTAGGGAATAACTAGAATAACTGGGTTGATTGTGACATATGAACTCCCTGAAGACATTGGTGGATGTGTCGATCAATTTCGTGGATTAGTTGAAGTTAGACATTAACATCGTTGGATGCTGGCCGGTTCAGTGGTCTAGTGGTTAAGCGCTCTCATGCGAAACTGATAGGTCCTTGGTTCAGATCTCGTGAGACGCGATCGTGGATGCACACTGCCACTGAGAAGTCCCACTATAGGACGAAACGGTCATCCAGTGCTTCCAGGTTTTCCATGGTGATCCAGCTCATGATTTCAACTATTGAAATTACTATAACATCTACAAAAACCCCTTCTGATATTAATAATGATAATATTTAAAGGATTAAATACTGGACTTCAAATCTTGATAATCACTATGAAATCAATGTGAGTTATGTAATCCAGTGTTAATGTGGGAAGATCAAATATGTGAGAAATCGGCTAAAGATCTCCTCAGTATAATAGAAATTTAATATTGAAATTTTCTCACTTTAACTGACTTAGTAGTGTAGAATGATCATCATTCAAGGTCCCATCATTTTGAGTCTGTAAATGGTTACTTACTTACTAACGTACTCACGCCTGTTACTCTCATGGAGAAGTTTAGGCCAAACACTAGCATTCTTCATCCAATTCTGTCATGAATAATCCTTTCCAGTTGCTATTCATTCTTTTTAATGTCTGCTTCCAAATACCTGACATGATGTGTTCCTTGACCTTCCTATTTTCCTTTAATCTTCAGTATTCCAAGGTAGCACTTACTTCGTGATGCAGTTTTTCAGCCTGTAGCTGCGGGTCCCAAACCCGAGTTGAATAATAGGGTCTACGTCTAAATGTCTATTGTTTGGAGATTGATTTAAACGGTATACTTACAGAAATTTGCTGAGAGTTTTTTCAATTCCTGTAACTCAAGACATGAGTATTGGACATGCTGTGTTGACTGAATTGAATAGTTTATTTATCATTACCCTCCTGGATAACATATTCAGCAAACACTTCAATAAGGAGTGAGCTATTGAAATTTTGCCACAGTTTATTAACTAGTTGTTTTGTTGATCTGGAATTCAATTTGTTGTTGTCCGTAACTTTATGGCCAATATCTGATGTGTTTATCTGGAATGTTTTCTTTCTTTATCTAACCTCTGACCTTGCAGTTGTTAATTCTTCTTCTTATTTGCTAATGGACTTCAACGATTTAGATTTGTTTATAGATCAATGTTTGGCTGAAGCGTTAATTATCTGGCTAGTTTTGTATTACCTCTGCCTAATACTTCGACTGTTTCTTAATGGAACTCTTGTTCACAGTTTTCCTCATGAAGTATTGTGAGTGACACTATCTCGCAGAGACTATCATCTAACCGTAAAAAAAGTTACATCCACTTGGTCTTACGACAAACATCAAACTGTTAATTTGGCATTACCTTGTTAAGTTTGAATTCGCAATGTTCAAACACAGAGATGTAATCAACAGAGTGTAATGGTTTGTCAGAATAATAAAGACAATACCGATCCCGATGTTAATAGCTCAGAATCACAGAATCATGCAATAACATTTAAAGTGAACGCTACGTGAATCGAGTCCCATAGTGAACATCAACTCTGGGATACAAATACACCAAGCCGACAAATCCCAAATAGCATGAAACGTCCCTCATTGGGATTCCATTACAAATCGATTAAATTTGGAATGTGAAACACAAAATCTCGATTCAATGATCTAAACCTAATGATACTTGTAAATCTATATTTAGCCCCTGACAAGGTTGTAAAAAGGTACTATTGAGGTGTTTCTCACTGAAGTAAATAAATGTTGGTTAATTTAATGGTTGAATTCATGAGTTGTTGAAAGCCAGACCATCTTGAAAAACTTGGAAGTAATGAACGGCCGTCTCGTCCTATTTTGGGACTCCTGAACAGTGAGCGCCCATGACCTCGCTCGCCGGATCCAGACGTAGGATCGCCGGTCTCGCGCGCGTACGCCTAATCACTAGACCACTGATCCAGTATCCAAGGATGTTAATGTTTAACTTCAACCAATCCATGAAGTTGTACCACCATTTCTTGGTAAGTATCTAGTTAAAATTACTCTTTGATTTTAATTAACTTTTATTTATTATACATCGAGTATTGCCTTTACATTCTATACTTTATTTTTCATAATCAAATTAGGCACTATTAAACTCTGCATTAAAGGATCAATTAGCAGAATTAACACGAAAATTAGGGGAAATTGAAAAACGTCAGGTTAGTTTAAAAGTCATGTTATTAGTTACTATTAAAGTATTATCAGTTTAACCCATAATATTATTATTCATCATTACTATCGTATTTTGAAATGGTGAAGAAGATTTATAGCTGAGGTGGGTGATTTTGATGTAGGTTTGTTCTCTGAGCTGGATAGTTTGGTCGTGGAGCTTTCATCGTCCTTCTGCACACGACATCATTAGCATAAACTTCGAGTAATTTGTGAAGTGAAGAAAATCAACATAATGATTTAAGAGAACAAATGGATTAGTTTCAGCTAAACAAGTTTGGTGAAGATAATAGGTATAAAAACCTGTTTGAATTAGGTTTCATACTAGTAGAAATGTGTCACTAAGAAGCATCTTTAATATGTAGGGGGGATTAATGGTTTCCGGGGAGTTGAAACCAATATCACCTAGTTGAAAACAAATGAAGAAACGAGCAACTATAACCCAGTATCAATTCCAGTTCATTATGGATGCATTAATATTGGTTATACTAACCAATACAATAGTACAGAATCTTCTTAATAACAAAAGGAAATAAGGGTAAGAGCGCGAGGAAAAACATGAGTGTAAAAGAGGGTAAATTTATGAGGGTAACTATCAAAAGATCGACCATCAAGAGTCATATGTAAATAAGGATAAGCTCTGTAAGGGAGAATAGAGTTTTTCAATACGAAATATATACGGTTTACCCCCTTGTTGTGGAAGTTCTTTTTAAAACGAACAATTCGATGGAGGGTGATACCGCTTATCTAAAAATATAGAAAAGGAACACAATCTAAATGGACTGAAATTTGAACATTGTGTTTGAGAAATCCAGCAACAGTATTTAGAAGAAAAGTGTATGGAAATAGCAGTACGTATCAAACTGGCTGTAGAAGATTACGTTCAATAGATCAACGTTAGACTATCCACGTAGAGTAGCATATAATTTGAATATATACACTTCAATTTAAACATATCTGGGTGGGAATAATAAATGACTAATCAATCCAAAACATTAAGACTAAGAATCAATAATCAATGGATTGTGTATGTAGAATTACTTATTAGAGTGCTCTTCCACGATCCCGCACGCGGGATCCAAATACAAGACTTTCAGTCTAGTGCGTGAACACTTGACCTACAGACCATTTGAGTCATGATACGATGACAGCTTGCACGTGACGTGTTAACAAACATAGATCAGGTTTGATCGAGCCATTTTGAATGAATGAAAAGAAAAATACACAATAAAATAAAGATTATTATCAGAAGGAGGTTTGTGAAAGTTGTAGTGAGTTTAATAATCGAATTCATGAGTCGACCCAAGATAGATCACCATCGTAAACATGAAAGTATTGAACAGTCGTTTCGTCTTAGTATGAAACTCCTGGACAGAGCCAATTCACAATCCCACACGCAGGAATCGAATCCACGAACTTCGGTCCCATGTTCGAATACTTGACCTATATACAACTGAACCGGAATGCAATGATTTTAATGTCTAATCTCAATCAATCCATGATCTCGTGCAACCATTCATCCATTGTCCGAAGTGAATAATTGTCTCCATCCGATACGGATTGGGTTCCACTGGTCACGGCTTCTCACTAGAACTCCATGAAATTCATCTTGAAGCTAATCACTAGTGAATAAATGATGATTATTATGAGAATGACGGTTTCTGGAAACCATGGATGCTTAGTATTGAGGAGTTCTATACTAAGATGAAACGACCATCTAGTGTTTCCAAATTTTTAATGGTGGTCTAGCTTAGATCAACTTATTAATTCAATTTTTCTCTTAGTTATTTTAAATTATTACAAATTATCTTTCACAGTTGAGGTATTCACTTTGTTGAATCGCTTTTTAAAATGAAGTTTCAATGTTTGAAAGAAAAATATAAATAATCTAATCATCAAAGAAATTATCCAAAATGTTTGACCTTTCAATGAATGAAAACAACCAAATATTTTGTTAAATAAGATTATCTACTCATTAGTAGTTAAAATTCTTGTATTTCATTTTTCTGTACTGATGTAAGTATTCTATGATAAAGGTAATAATATGTCTTCAAATAACTGTACACTTAGTTCTCTTCGATAAGTAAATTCTTAGGACTGTAACACAGTGAAATAAAAATATGAAACTTAACAACTTATAAGATTTTTTTAGACTTTATCTAGAAATGAATAAAAAGAATTTCTTTCGACAGATTCATTTATGGTGAAAATGAGAAATCAGTTAATAAAGGGAGGATGAATATACTTTTAAAATGCCCCGAAATGCCCTGGTACGACCGAGCGTGGGAACAGTTTGCTCTCGCTAATGAAATGCTTTTACATGGACATGTGTATACATTCGCTTTCACAGACGTCCTACTCACTGTTTTTATGAGAGGGGGGTGTTGTTTAAGAAATTGAAAGGACGAAAAGTGAATGTCCAGCGCTTTACCCAGTATACACCTAGAGAAGTTAGAAAACTCTGATACTAAACCAGTGGAAAATATGGGATTCAAGATCCTGAGGGGACAAATGGAGTGTGAACCGATTGTTGGTCACCGGCGAACATAAGACTTCATCTCTTGACATTGCTTTACTGCGTAATGGATGAGACCTCTATCTCAAATTCCCGTTGAATAAAACCACCTTCTGGTAGTATCGCAGCCCTCACATAAATGTAGTCACGAAGTGTAGTACATAAATACTTGGTGCTTCCTTGTACCAATGTTTATGCGTTTAAATAATAACGATAATTATAGAGTTTCATAATAGTCTTGTCTGTTTCATAAATATAAAATATAACCGTGCGCTAAATGCATTCATTTGAAGCTGCTTTCATGTAGTTTCAGGAATAGTTCATTGAATACATCTCAATAAAAATAAGCTGGGAATAAGCTAAGGGAAGTTAAATCATTCTATGGTACACTCTGTTTATAAAGTTAACGAAATGGTCTCTAGGAATGAGTAACTTACAAGAAGGTAACCTCATCGTCATTTGAAATCCAATAAGTTTGTCATTAACAATTTTTTTATTCAAGGAAATAACTTATAGATCTTCATACATATGTAAAGCATACTTCGTAGATAACTGACATGTCATTGAGGATTTTTATTGTCCTGTGATCATCATTTTTCATAAAACCAAATAGTTATTCCTGTTCTGTTATGCATATATAACCATTGTGAGTAATCTTTAGTATTTTCAGAAGTAAACATGACTAATATAACATATGTCGACTAAACTTTTCTATAAACAATTTAGTTACTTATGAGTAGTTAATCTAATTTAACAAAATATTTGGTTGTGTTATTCACTGAAAGTCAAACATTTTGAATAGTTTCTTTGCCTAGATATCCAGTTTCCAGGAAAAAAAACTCGTAACTTCGCTTTAACTGTTTGAAAGGTCTAACATTATGGTCGTTTACTTCTTTTTGATGAAGACTTTGTTGAATGAATGGATAAATTAATCTTCATTCCTTTTCAACTTTTTTTTTAAAAAAAAAACTGATCGCTAAATAATCAAACTGTCAGTGATTCATAGAATGATCGGAACTTTTATGTAGTTAATTTTCACCTTATAAACTGAATCAAAGTGGAAATTACAACATAATGAATTTGTTGTATTTCATTGTCTACTGTTAGTGATATTGATGAAAATGAAATAAATATATCCTATTTGGCTTTGTATATGCTCTGCCGAATTATTTTTATTTTGTTTAAACACATAAAGATTGGCACAAATGATCACCAAATACATATGTGCCACATAAATCTTATTTGATTTGTGTGAGGACTGTGATACCGCTCAGGTGCCCAAACTGAAGTCGGTGATTTTCTTAGGGGGCCACACCCGGAGCCTTTCACCTGAAGGTCTGATTCACAAGGCAGTGGAGCATCGTGAGGAGATGCAGTCCCATGGCAGCCTGTGACCGGCGATTGATTCATACGCCATTTGTTCCCTCAGGATACTGGAGCCCATGTGCATCATTGGTTTGGAATGAAGGTTTTTCAACTCCCCTAGATGGACCCTCCGTATCCACCAACCTGATTAAAGCGCCGGACGTTTGCTTTTCATCCTCTGAATTTCGTAAACAACAGTAACGCCACGAGAAGGCAGTAAGTAGGACTTGTGTGTCAGAGGCTATTTATGCGTGGCCAAATGAGAGCATTTGGAGAGGGAGAGCGGACTCTCCCCACTCTCGGCCGTACTAGGGCATTTGGATCGAATTACCACGTTTAGAATAGCACTTTATCAGAAAAATGGAAAATGAATTACATCTAGAATATATATGTTACAGACATGCTAATCTTGACAAGGAAAAAAATAAGATACTGACATTGTATAAGGCACTAGAGTTCGATAATACTCTGACTCAGGGAATAGTAAGCTGATCATAGATATGAAAGAAATACAAGAAGCGGATGGAGATGTACCTGATCAAGATTACCTGCGAGTAATTTGACAAGGTCAAATATATACGAATGACAATTAATGGAATGATAAGGATAATTTACCATCAATTTGAAATTGTGGAAATTGTCTGATTTCATGGAAATCATTAACCAACCAATGTTAGACCAACATCGAAAACCTAGAAACACTGGATGACTGACTCACCCTAGTATATCAATCCTCATCAGTTCGCACCTACAGTCCCATACATAGAGCCCAGACCCAGGATCTTCGGTTTCACGCGCTAGCGTTTAACCTCTAGTCCATTGAGCTGTCACTCAACTGTGTCGGTGTCCGACTGAGTAGTTCTGTACTAAGATATTGATTAAACTTGTTAAAATTGTTTAATTTCTTTTTTTTCTTTTTACATTAAAGAATCAACAAGCAACTTTATTACAAAATGTTGTTCATATGGATGCATTACGTGGTTTAGTATTTTGGCATACATTAGGCAAATCAATTACTGGTGTAGATTATTTAACGGCTTATTCACAAGTCAATACTACTAATAATAAGACTTATCATGTCAATACTATTGATAATAATAATCTAATAAAAGATGAATCAAATTGTTTAACAAAAAGTTTACCAGAAGAATTTGTAAGTTAATTATCATATTCTTTATAGAATTTCCCTCTTTTTTAAAAATTTTGATATTGATTACAATCAATGATTGGTTTCTATGTTCAGATTTGTGTGAGGGCTGTGATACTGTCCAGGTGCCCAAACTGAAGCAGATAGTTTTATTAGGGGGCCAAACCCGGAGTCTTTGATCTAAAGGTCTGATCCACAAAGCAGTGCAGCATCGTGAGTAGATGCAGTCCCATGATAGCCGGTGACCAACAATTGTATCATATGCCATTTGTTCCCTCAGAATACTGAAGGCCATGTTCACCATTGGTTTGGAATCAGGGTTTTTCAACTCCTCCAAGGTGGACGCGCCGTGTCCACCAACCCGGTTAAAGCGTCGGATATTCACTTTTAGTCCTCTCAATTTTGTAAACAACACCCCCTGGTGAGAGAAGGCAGTGAGTAGGACTTCCCTGGTAGAGGCTATATACGCGTGGCCATGTGAGAGCATTTCGAGATAGAGGGAGAGCGGACTCTCCTCACTCTCGGCTGTATCGGGGCATTTGGGGGCATTCATTCATTTAGTGACACAATTCTTTTTATTATGATTATGAAATATGAATACAATGTTCATCTTGTTGTGTTAATGAGGTAATAACAACTTGGACCGATATATTTATGAACCTAGTTCTATGTTGTAGCTGATTGACTTAATGATGGACTGAAACATGATAGAGTTAGTTATTCACTTGGTGTTGTATACTTGTATCTTCCCATTGTTATTTAGGACTTAAATTGATCAGTCTCTATTTGTCATATGTGCATACTGTGCGAACTGCCTTGATATTGCCTGAAATCACAAGCTTTATATGCAATGATGGATAGTGGCTAGCAGTGCAATCTAGGACGCGTCAGATGGATATACTTGTATCTCAGACTTGTTGATATTCACTCTGGGACTCGAACCCAGTATCGTTCGCTTCAAACATCATCACGTTATACCACTCAGTTACTAAGTTCTGATAGCCACAAATCTTTAAGCTTTACTAAATATCACTTGTTTATATATATGCATGTTACATCATACTAAAGAATATTTATCATATGTAAAGTGGTGATTCAATCCGTTATGTATAGATCATCAGGCAAAAATGTATATGTATGTATGTAAAGAAAGGGGAAGAAGAAAAAGCATTTGACAAGTAATTACCAAAGATTCCAGAAAAATCAAAACTATCATCAAACTGTATGTATGTATATTTGATTACGTAACAAAAAATGTGTTGCTATGCATTGGTATGCATATTCTAATCAACAATGACAAGAATGTACAAATGATTTATCATCTATTTTCTAATGTTTATTATCTTATAGACTAATTCTTGTTTATATAAGTATACTTGACATTTGAAATGATGAATGATCGTTTTGCTTATGGATAAACAAAGGCTATTGAAGTTCAGAACATTGAAGATTACTAGAAATCTAGTCTAGATATATGTTTAGAGCACCAGTGAAAACCTGGAAGCATTTGATGAATGTTTCGTCGTAGTATGGAGCTCTTCTCAGTAGAGAGCATCCTCGTTCATGCACATGGGACTTTTGAGGAGTTCTATATTGGAAAGAAATGGATATCTAGTGCTTTCAGGTTTTTAATAATGATCTAATATTGATTAGTTCATGATCTTTACTAAAAACTGAACAATCTCTACAATCAGATATTGATTATTTTATTTTAGTATTTTCATAGTTGAAATCATGAGTCAATTGAAGCTAGGCCACCATGGAAAAATCTAGAAGTACTGGACGGCCGTTTCGTTCTATTATGGGACTACTCAGTGGCAAGGAGCATCCACGATCCCGCACTCGCGAGATACGAACCCAGGAGCTACCAGTCTCGCACGCGAGAGCTTAACCTATAAACCACTGAGCCGGCCGGCATCCAACGGTGTTAATGTCTAACTTCAACCAGTCAACGAAATTGAGCAACCTTATCACCAGTATCTTCAGTGAGTTGATATCTCCTAACAGAACTTATGAAAACAATAGGAAATAAATATGTATGATCAATTTGTTCATTTTCTGTTTATACTTCACCTAGCTTGAATGTCCAGATCCAGATCTATCATCAACACTTCGAAAACTTGGAAATGTAGCTTCTGGATTTGATTCAGTAGTTAATCGAATTGAACAACTTGAAGTAAGTATACTTAAAATTTTATTGTTTTTGTTCGTTTTTATTTATTACTAATTTTACTACTAATAAGTAGTAACTCCATTATAGAGTTCTTTAGTGATGATTTCACTTTCTACTAACCAGAATATTAACTTTTCCTCAATGAATAATGCAAATGACTTTCGTCTATGGACGGAAGTTCTGAAATTGATTGGCCAAAACAATTTCATCTAATATCCAATGATCAATCAGAACATGATGAGAATAAACTGATTTACGTTGTACATTCTATTGGGGTGTAGGTTACTGATATCCACATAAGTCGTATATGGTAATGGTCGAGCATTGATTGTATTTCAGTAGAAGATCGATGAGGAGAGAATCGGAACGGAATGCAATTGGTATGAAAATGCATGAACACTTATAAACGGAGACTGTGGATGGATATTTAAAGAAGGAACAGTCAAGATTGAGACAATTGATTGATAGTTTGCAAATCAACTATTCACTATATGGTTCTCATATTTTAATAAGACATTTTGTAATGTTCGGCCCGAAGACATTCGATTGTCTCCACTCGTATTCTTGTTCAATACACTAAGAATTAATAACTCAAGATTATATACATCAATTACGTAACGATAATGCACCACAAACATGAAATCATATAACTAAATGACATATGGTATCGAATCAAGGAATAGATGCTTAATTAATTGACAACCTTTAAGCTACGTCAATATGACTTTGAGAGTGTCTACTTACTTACTAAAGCTAAATGAGGGTTATAAAGCAATGTGGAGAATAAGGATTATGATTTACAGTTGATGGTTAAGGTTAAGGATTACATTTATAGTTTTTCATCACAAACTAACATCAGCTAAAATGTCAAGACTTAATTACTTACTTATGCCTGTTACTTCTCGTGGAAGAGCATAGGCCGCTCACTAGCATTTTCTATCCACCTCTATCCTAGACAATCCTTTACAGTTCTTTCCAGCTGTTATTCATTTTTTTCATATCTGCTTCTATTTCCCAGCGTAGTGTGTTCTTTGGCCTTCCTCTTTTTCGCTTCCCTTCACCAATCCAAGTTAGGGAATGCCTTGTAATGCACATTGGTGATTTCCTTAATGTATTTCCGATCCACTTCTAACGTCTTTTCCTAATTTCCTCCTCAGCTGGAAGCTGATTTGTCCTCTCCCATAAAACGCTGTTGCTGATAGTATCCGGCCAGTGGATGTTGAGTATTTTGCGTAGACAATTGTTTATAAATACTTGAACTTTCCTGATGATGGTCGTAGTAGTTCTCCACGTTTCAGCTTCATACAGTATAACTGACTGTCTTGACGTTCGTATTAAAGATTCTGACCTTGAAATTGGTTGAGAGTTGTTTTGAGTTCCATATGTTCTGCAATTGTAGAAATTCTGTCAAGACTCTGTTTGGCCAAATGTTTGAATGAATTTCGCGCCCAAATCTAAGACCTGTTATCCTAAATCTGATTGGTTTGTACATAAATGTTAATCTTGCTCAGAACACTATTAACAATACTGATATTTTGAAAAATTCAAGAATCAACGTTATATATACACCTATAAAATAACCTTTCATCTGCACATTGTTTACAATAAATAATTAAAACATGAAAAAAGATAAAAATCAATAATATGGGCAAGCTAAACTTTATCTCCTTGGCGAATCATCAAAGTGAATAAAATCTCCACAAACTCCTCTTCTGACAGTAATCATATGCTCACTAGTGACTGGCTTCAAGTGGTATTTCATGGAGTTCTATTGAAAAGCAGTGACCAGTGGAGTTCAACTGAGTCTGTTGTAAGATAGCAACTCACTGAAGAGATTGGTGGAAGGTTTCTCAATTTCATGGATTAGTTGAAATTAGACATTAACACCGTTGGACACCCACTCAGTGATCTAGAGGTTAAGCGCTCATGCGCAAAACTGATAAGTCTTGGGTTGTAATATCGAGAGGTGGGATCGTAGATGTGCACTGCCACTGAGCAGTCCCACAATAGGACGAAGTGTCTATCCAGTGCTTCCAGTATTTCCATGGTGATCCAGCATCAACTGACTCATGATTTTAATTATTCAGTATTTCACACTGAGAATACGTTTTACGTAATCGATACCGGAAAAAGGTTTTCCATCGAATAATTGATGTCAATTCATTCAAACACCATCTTAGTATTTGAATATCATGTCATAGAATAAACACTAAACACTAGTATACTTACTTACTTATACCTGTTTCTCCTAATGGGGCACAGGCCACCGACCACCATTCTCCAACCCACTCCGTCTTGGGCTTTCCTTTCTAGTTCTATCTAGTTTTTGTTCATTTTTCTCACGTCTGTCTTTATTTATCGGCGTAATCTGTTCATTGGTCTTCTTCTTCTCTTTTGGCCTTCAGGATTCTGTGTGAGGGCTTGTCTTGTGACGCAGTTGGATGCTTTTCTCAATATGTGTCCTATAATTCTACATTATACCAAAAATATAATATTGAATAAAGCCAATAATAATATTACCAAACTCTAGTACATTAAGAATAATAGTTTTTACCACGTATAAAGAGAACAGCCCAGGAACTTACTTAGTCAGTGACTTTATCAACTTTATATTAACCTAGTCATTTCAAATTTGCTTTCCAACCTATTTCTATATCAATCAAGCTTATAATGCAGATTATCTTGATATTTTCACTTAGTATTACTTGTTTGAATCTTCTCATTAATGTTTAAGACTGCAACTGGTCAGTCTCTAATTGGCATATGTGCATACTGTGCGTATTGTCTCGATATAGCCTACATTCACAAGCATTGTAAGCAAAGAGGGAAAGTGGCTAGCAGTAGAATCCAGGATGCGCGTTTCGTCCTATTTGGGACTCGTCAGCTGGATGTACCTGCATCTCAGACTTGTTGATGTTTACTCTGGGACTCGAACGTGAAACCATCCGCTTAAAACTCCATCGCGTTATCCACTCATCTACTGAGTCCCAATAGCCACTTACTTGTGCCACTATTCACCTTTGCTTACAATGCTTGTAAAATAAGGCTATATAGAGGCAATACGCACAATATGTACATATGCCAATAAAAGACTGACCAGTTGCAGTGCTAAACATTAATGAGAAGATTCAAACAAGTAATATTAAGTGGAATAAAACTTCACCATATTGCACAAGCAAGTGACTATCAGGACTCCGTAGATGAGTGGACAACGCGATGGCGTTTGAAACGGAAAGTACCGGGTTTGAGTCCTAGAGTGAATATCAACTCTGAGATGCAGGTACATCCAGCTGACGAGTCCCGAATAGGACAAAACGGGCGTCCTGAATTCCACTTCTGGCCACTATCCACCTTTGCTTACAATATCTTGATATTTGTTATATAATTTAACATGGATCAAATAGACTTAAACCTAAAAAGTAATTTCTCATTTAAAGAAAATGGTTATTCAGAAAACTGATTCCTATTTTAGATCTCTGTTCATCATGATACAGATTTAGATAAGGTTAGTTCCTTGTACATACATGTGCACAAATCAATAAAACATGCACACAATCATCAGTATGCTATTGTTATCCTTTTTTATTACTGTCATCATCGTTGTCATCTTATGTTGTCTATAATTTGTGTCGTTTTTTCATACAACAACTATTTGTCTTGAATTGACATCCGTTTCAAATCTAGGAACAATGGATGGTTGTATAACTCTGCTTTCCCCCCCCCCTATCAGTTCATACTTAAAACATCACTAAGAGAAACAGAACGTCTATGTTTCTGCTAAGAATGTTATCATTTAGACCATTGAATTGGAATCTGGCAGTCTACGTTTCTAAATTTAATCATTATACGCCTACAAATCGAGCTAGTTTCATTGGTGATAAGCTTTAGGGATGGATGTTTGATGTTTTAGTGAGAAGTAATCATCATTAATGACACTGTGTAATGGTTATGTAATATTGTAAATTGATTGAAGTTAAGAGTGTAAGAGCTTGGATACAAATTTAATGATCTAATATTAATAAGCTCCCTATGAGACATGGAAGTTTAATTTCCGGCTCCTGTCAATGTCTTAGGCTCGAACTCCGGGGAAATTCTAAACAGGAACAAAGTAATTATTTGAATTTGTTCAAAGAAACCAAACTAGCTTAGTATTTAAAATACTAACTTTATTAAGTATTCATTTCAAAATCTTTTGTCCTGTAACATCAAAACGATTCATCTTCAAAGAAATCAAACAACCGGTTAGAATGAAACAATCGAATAATCGGATTCAAACCACACGTTATGTAATGGCTCATAATTTCAATGATACTCAACCATCACCATCGGAATTAACCAGACAAATCGCTCCACGAACTAAGAACGGCCATGCACCACCACCCACCGAGTCAAGAAAGAGCTATCACTCTATCAACTTGGAACGTTGCATAAATGTGTCTGATCCTACGTTGTAGCTGACTGACTGACAACTATCACCATAATCCCGTTCTGACATTTATCGTTTGCTTACTACTGACTAGCTTCAAAATGAAAATTTCCTATATTCTAGTGAGGAGACATAACTAGTGGAGCTAAATTATGTACAGTGTGAGGCAATTATCCATCGAAAATAAAAGAAGACAGTCACGCTATGTTCTGGTTTGATTGAATTTAGACAGTAACAGTGTTGAATGCCGGCTCAGTGGTATAAACGTTAAGCTTTCGTATACGAAACCGAAAATCCTTAGCTTCATTCCAATGTGCAGGGTTTTAAATGTACAGTTCTAAGCAGTTCCATACTAAAATGAAACGACCGTCCCTTACTCCCAGGTCTTCAATGGAAGTTTAACATTGATCATTTCATAATTTCAATGAAATTCAACAAACTCCACAACCTTATATTGGGAAAACAAATGTTTTGTTAATACTTGATGATACATGGGTACTTGATATGAGATACAACAACTTGAAATACCAGTACTAGACTGAATAATACAACTGAACGTACGATCGAAACCCATAGATGCACAATTTATTAACAGAACGCCAAATTCAGAGTACAATAAGTTATTTAATGAACTGAATAATATGAGAGAGTTCACAATATTCTGTACTGTCTTTTATCTCTTAACAACTAATCAACGCTTACTACTACTTCTCACATTAACCTCCCCCCAAGAAAAACATATATCGACAGTTTATTCTTACATATCATAAATATGGTTAGCTGTGTAATCCAGTTTGAAGCGGGTTTCATCCTATCTGAGACTCGTCAGCTGAATGTATCTTCATCTCAGACATGTTGATAATCACTCTGGGACTCGAACCCAGAATATTACCTTTGTTACAATGGGATATAATTTTAACTATCATTTAAGATATAATGACATCTTATTTAAATCTTCATTAAATTCTTCTAGGCATTAATAAAACAAAAACCTGATCGTAGTGAATTAGAAGGTTTGGGTGTACCAACAGAATTATATGAAAAAATTTATAGTTTAGAAGCTATTGTAAAAGAGTTAGCCAAAGAAAGAGAGAAGGTAAATTGTGTGTTTGTGTGTGTGTTTGTACGTAACTAAGTGTATATGTGTATATTGATTCTCTGTGTGCAAGTGTATGTGTGTGTGCGTGTCATTTTATATGTTTCACTGCACCGGTTTACTCTAATAATCAGCCAGCTAATTAATCATTTTTTTTATTGTTCCTATCACTGTTTCATATAATTCACCAGATTATTGATCTAATGTTAACAATCTAAGTTTGTGATATGTAATTATTGTGCTTTTTTCGAATGAGGGGGTGTTGAATGTGGGTCGATGAGTTTGTTTTACTGTGACATAGTTTTGTTCTTAAAATAATGAACATTGATATTATATTTATAAATATATTAAAATGTAGCTGCTTATGCTTGTTACTCTTCGTGAAGCACCATAGGTCACCCACTAGCATTCTCCATCTAATTCTATATTGGACAATCCTTTCCAGTTCCTATTCATCCTTTTTATGTCTGAATCCAATGGTCTACGTAACGTGTCCTTTTTTCTGTTTTCCTTCAGGATTGTAAGTTAGCACATTATTCGTGATGCAGTTTGATGATTTTCGTAGTCCATGTCTGCTGGAAGTGAATATTCCTGCAGATCTATTGTGAAGCCAAAAACAATGAAGTTTGTATGTGTCTATGCTGAAATACTTATTATTAATGGTACTGGATGATCTTCATGATTAGTTAAAGTTAGAAATATATGCCATTTGATTTCAACTCAATAGATTCTAATGGTTAAGTGTTTATGGTGAAAGTTAAAGATAATTAGTTCTATCTCCTACTGGATTGTCAGTGTCTACTACTAAGGAATCCCTTTATTAAGACAAAAGCAGTTGCTCAGTAATTCTTGGTCTTTCCATGGTAATAATAATAATCAACATAATCTGATAAACATCTACTATACAATCTAATGTGATTATTAATTGAAATCAATCACTAAATACAATCAAGTGTATTTTGATATTTAGTTAAATTAATTTTATTAAAACTACTTCAGTGTTTAAGTGACCGCCAACTTTGATCAACCCTCAAATGACCTGGTACGGCCGAGAGTGGGGAGAGTCCGCAATCCCTCTACAAATGCTCTCACATGACCACGCGGATATAGCCTCTACCACACAAATCCTACTCACCAGTGTTGTTTATGAAACCGAGAAGATGAAAAGCGAATGTCCGGTGCTTTGACCAGGTCGGTGGATACGGAAAGTCCATCTAGGGGAGTTGAAAAACCCTCATTCCAAACCAATGATGCACATGGGCTCCAGAATCCTGATGGAACGAATGGCGTATTAATCAATCGTTGGTCACCGGCTACCATGGGACTGCATCTCCTCATGATGTTCCACTGTCTTGTGGATCAGACCTTTAGATCAAAGTCTCCGGGTGTGGCCCCTTAAGTAAACCACCTGCTTCGACTCGGGCACACGAGCAGTATCACAGACCTCACACAAATCAAATGAGATTTGTGAGGCGCATATATATCTGGTGCCCGTTTGTATCAAAATTTATGTGTTTAAATAATAAAATAATAAAATCTACTCAAACAAACTACAATTATTTATAACTTAACAGACTTTTTTTAATAATTGGATCCCTGAGTCGATCTAAGCTAGACCACCATGAAAAGCCTAGTGGAATTAAACAGCTGTTTCGTCCTAGTTTAATACTCTTCATCAGTGTGTATCAACAATCCTGCATGTGGAAATTGAACTTAGGAGTTTTGGTCTCATGCACGTACGCTTAACCTATAGACCATTAAATCGGTATCCAGTGATGTCAATGTCTATTATCTAAAGTTGATAATTGTCTCCATCTTGTTTAAATGGACTCATGAATTCAACCATTAAAATTACTACAGTCTCTACAAATCCTCCATTCAGATGTTTTGGGAAATGAGGGGGACGCGATATACATATTGAAACATATCAGATGAAATTCAATTCTTATTCATCATTCATGAGTAGGTTTGTAAGATTATATTAATTTTAGTGAAGTGAAGTGAAGTAAGTGGATATCAGGACTCCGTAGCTTAGTGGATAGTGCGATGGCGTTTGAAGTGAACGGTATTGGGTTCGAGTCCCAGAGTGAACATCAACAAGTCTGAGATGCAGGTACATCAAGCTGACGAGTCCCAAAAAGGACGAAACATGCGTCAAACTGGATTCCACTGTTAGTCACTATCCATCTTTCCTTACAATACTTATGAATTAAGGCTATATTGAGGCAATACGTATATGCAGTATGCACATATGCCAATTAGAGACTGACCAGTTGCAGTCCTAACACATCGATGGGAAGATTCAAACAAGTAATACTAATTGAATTTGATTGTTTGTCTGTTTGTTTGTTTTAAACAAAAGAACTTCTAAATCTTTGCATATTGAATTTCACTTTCCATGATCCCATTGCAGGCTACATGGATATATTACTTATAATCACAATTCAGTAATGTGTATTTGAAAAGGTCATTTGTCCTGTATAAATTTGTGTTGTTGTTGTTGTTGTTGATTTGTTGACCTTGATCATTTTCTTTTTGTTTTACTGAGTGTCTTCTTTTACTTATTTTATTGAGATTAGCTATTGCAGTGAGTTTAGTTTTTCTCTAACCTACTACTAACGTTTACATTGTCAGTAGTATGAAATATGTAAGTGTGATTTATTTTTGCTTGATTGTTATTGAGAATGATAAACTAAGAATTTGATTTCTTTTAACTAGATTTACGTGGATTGTGGAACATCACCCCATATGCCTTATCCAACTGATGTAAGTTTCTTTTTTTATTGTTGTCATGTTCTTCCAATATCTAGTAATTACTGAACGCTACAATATATCCATCTCTTCTTAAATTAGAACAATCACTGAGAAAGCATAATAGATATTCCTTTACATCGAGGTGTATAGGATAAGCTGTGAACCACATCTGGAGAAATTTGAACACTTCAATTCTATTCGAAGTTTGTGCTGATGATGTCGTTCAGAAAGATAATGAAAGCTCCACGATCAAACCATCCAGCTTAGAGGACAAAACTTGAATGACAAAAGTACAGTACTGAAAACGTAACAACTTATACAGAATTCACCGATTAGTTGAAAATAGATCTTTCAGAGTATATCAATATGAACCTGGCCCCAAAATGCCCTGGTACGGCCGAGAGTGGGGAGAGTTCACTCTCCCACTCCGAATGCTCTCACATGGCCACAGGTATATAGCCTCTGACAGGGAAGTCCTACTCACTGACTTCTCGTGGCATTACTGTTGTTTACGAAATCGAGAGGACGAAAAGCGAATGTCCGGCGATCTAATCGGGTTGGTGGACACAGATGGTCCATCTAGGGGAGATGGGAAACCCTCATTCCAAACCAGTGGTGCACATGTGCTCCAGTTTCCTGAGGGAACAAATGGTGTATGAATCAATCGTTGGTCACCGGCTAACATGGGACTGTATCTCCTAACGTCGCTCCATTGTCTTGTGGATAAGACTTCTAGGTCGATGTCTCGGGGTGTGGCCTCCTAAGAAAACCACCTGCTTCGGTTTGGGCACTCGAGCAGTATGGTAGCCCTTACACAAATCAAATGAGATTTGTATGGCGCATATATATCCGGTGACCCTTTGTATAAATATTTATGTGTTTAAATAATTAAATAAATAAATCATATGAACCTGACTTGAATATGCAATAACCAAGAGTTCATTCTGTTGACAGATTCAATTTACTTACTTACGCCTGTTACCCCTCGTCGCTAAGCATAGGCCGCCCACCAGAATTCTCCGCCCGTAGCTCTTCTAGAGTTACTGCCGGTCACAAGCTCGGGTAAAGGAGGAGGGTTAGGCATGTGGTTAGCGACCCAATCCCATAGAAAAACTAACTCGCTTAAAAAACGCTAACCAGAAAAAGTCAACATGTAAACTAATAATTACGAAGAATTTGGATGTCTTTTTTAGGTAAAGTTTACCGAATAAAAATATCTTCAATTTTTCTGTTACTATCAAATTAGATAACACCTTGGTATACGATACATGATTTCGTATCAAACAAAAATATCATTCGGAGTTAACTTGGCTTCAGTCCAAATGTTTATAAAGTGTAATTTCGCACTGATGTTAGGTGGCTGCTGGTAACTGGCAGAAAGTTGTTGAGCTGTGTTTCTTACAAGATGACGCTCATCAAGGCTTATTTGTAATGTTAATGAAATAGATGTTCCTCATGGGATTCAAACTCACACCAGTCAGTTTCATAGTCAGAAGTGTTATTTTAGTGCTATTCAAGTAATAGCTGTTTTTCTATTTGGCTGAGTTGCTTAAACTAACTAATCGTTGAGTTTTAAGGAAAATCATTCATGTCTAGCCTTTAATATTGAGCCAATTTTTGAGGCTACTAGTCTAAGTGACCCGATTTTGTTGGACAGAAGGTTAGATGTTTTATGTTTAGGGGTATTTACCAGGTGGTTGCTTGGGGTTTGAAAACCAGCAGACATATACTTGGATACCACAAGTTATTGATATTTGCTAAAGACATCCATCTATGATTCATATTCCCTTTTCGATGTGAAATGGTCTGATTTGGTCTTTTATTCAAACATATTATGGTAAAAACTATCTAGAGACAAAATGACCCATTGTTTCATCAAACTAAGAAAGTGGTTTATTTATCAGTGAATGATTAAAATCACATTGTTGTCCTCAGGATCACATGGAATCTATCAACCATGATCTAGAGTTTACTGCCTAATTATGGATACAATATTAAAATCTTACTTTGTGATTTGATGAACTGAACTGAAATATCTGTATGTATCGAACACGGGACTGGTAAGTACTATACCTGCCAACTGATATGAAAATTCTATATGATTACAATTTGAACTTCACAGTTCAGTCAAAAACGTCCTGGATCAAGTCTACGCCAGGATTACCAATTTATGATTCTTTTATGATTGAGATCATGAATCAGTAGATGTTTGATCACCACTGAGAAACCGAAACTATTGCATGACCATTTCATCCTAATCTACCACTCCCCAGCGATGCGCATCCATGTTTCTGCAGGCGGGACTCGAACCCAGGACCTCTAGTCTCACGTACGAACGCCTAAACTTTAAATCACTGAGCCGGAATCCAACAGTGTTCCTGCCTTACTTTAACCAATCCACGAAATGTTATTTAGTTTATCATAAATATTCAGTTTATCATTAAAGTGATTACGTAACTTCTGATATTTTTCTTCCCCCTTAAATAGGATAAAAAATTATTGAAAAAATTACAAAATACCATGTCAGTATTACAAGAGCAAATCAATCAGTTGAACAATATTGTTACCAATGTACAATCACAATTTAAAAAACTTCACGAAACTGTTGAGGTAAATTTTGTTTTTCTTTTTTCAAACTGGTTGATTGAAGTTAGACATTAACTCGGTTGAATATAGGCTGCGTAGTCTAGAGGTTAAGTAATCTCACACGAGACAGAAGGTCTTGAGTTCGAGTCCTGCATATGAGGTCGTGGATATGCATACATCAAGAGTATCATACTAGGACAAAATGATCGTCCAGTACTTCCAAGCTTTCAATGATGGTCTAGCGTAGATTGACTCTTGAATTCAACTGTTGAAAATTCATGTTTCTTTGATAAATGAGGTTACATGTTTCAATGTGATCGATTGATAAAAAATAACAGTTGACCTTTTATTATAAGCAACACACACTGATGAAGATGTACAGTTTTCTATACTTTTCTGATATTTGAGAGAGTACAGGTGAGGGAACGATAAGCAGTTGAAGAACTTATGTTCTGAACTCGACTATTAAAGTTTCAAACATTGGAAACAGATATTCGACAAGCATCTTATACAAATGGATGGTACCATAAAATTGATCTGGTTGTTATGTCTAAACGTTTTCGAACTTTTTCTAATCTAAGCTTACATATTTATCTGACAGCCTAAGTATCTCATGAGGGATCTGTCCTTGACTATTAGAGACAGACAGTATATAATCTTAAATTTGAGTTTTGTACTATCTGTTACAGTTTAGTAGGAAGAATGATTAAAGCATTCAAACCTAAACATAGCATCAATTCTCTGTTGTTCCAAGTCAGACTAAAAGATTTAGAATACAATAAGAAGGTCAGTTTGATAACTGCGATCAATGGCTGAGAATATTATGTTACATACTTCAGAACTAGTCAAAATGACAAACATACGTTCATTCTTTTTCCTACTAATGATCTTAAGTTTCAGTATTCCTTCATACACTTATTTTAATCATTCGTCTGAAACTATTTTTTTTTGTAATTTTTTAATTTCATAGTTGAAATCATGAGTCAATTGAAGCTAAACCACAATGGAAAACATGGAAGCACTGGACGGCCGTTTTACCCTATTGTGGGGCTCCTCAGCAGTGCACATCCACGATCCCGCCTCTCGAGATTCGAACCCAGGACCTTTCAGCGCATAACCACCAAACTACTGAGTGTGCATCCAGCGGTGTTAGTGTCTAACTTCAACCGATCCCTCTTCTTATAATCATGAACTAATCAAATCTAATTGTCGCAAAATGATTTTTAATTCTTTGCTATTTATCTTGTTAATTTCGTTACATTATGCCATTGTGGTCCAATAACTTGATCTGACGTGCACCTGTACACTGAATAAAACTAACTGACTTAAGGAATCGATGTTCACTGTGTGTGCAAAGCAAATCTGCCATAAAAAATTGTCCTGTATACTTGAATAATTTATATTAGATTGACAATGCTTATAACTCCCTATTGTTATTATTCCTATGGTATTGTTTACTTGAATCTTCCCATTGATGTTTAGGACTGCAATCCACCAGTCTCTTATTAGAATATGTACATCCTGTGTGAACTGCCTCAACATTATATGCAAAAATGAACAGTGGTTAGCAGTGAAATCCAGATCACACGTTTCGTTCTATCTGGGACTTGTTAACTGGATATAGCTGAATCCTAGAGTTAGTGTTCACTCAGTAGCTAGTTGGATAATATGATGGCATTTGAAGCGAATGGTACTGTGCTCGAGTCTCGGATTGGATATCAACTCTGGAATGCTGGTGGATCCAGGTGAAGAGTCTTGAATAGAATGAAACGCGCGCCCTAGATTCCATTGCTAGTCACTATCCATCTTTGCTTATTTTTATTATTATTTATCCCTCAATAAATTGAATATTGATCCTTAGTGTTTTTCGTATCTAACTGATAAAATCTTAGGATGTCAAACAGTATGCAGATGATTTGGAAACGCGTAAAGCAGACGCAAACTATGTGGATACACAATTAGACAAGGTTAGTTGAGATAATTTTTTTCTGTTTGAAAAACTAATTCATTTCAACTATTTCTATGAAGTGTTAAAATTTTATTTCCACAACTAAACGGCCGTTTCTTCCTCTCTAAAGACTCCTTAGAAATGTGTATACATGATTCTACGTGCAGAATCCATCGGTTAAATACCGACTGAATAGTCTAGAGGTTGGGTGTTTACTCGCGAGATTGTGAGTTTACACAGCTGAGGAGATTTATACTAAAGTAAAACTGCTGTTCAATATTTCCAGGTTTTAGTGGTGGTCCAGATAAGATCAGTTTGCGATGTTCTTCACAAACTCCCCATAAAACTTTTATTTATTTGGATATACAGTTTGAAGAGATTTGTTTAGTTGTAAGTTATTATCAGAAGGGATTTTTGTGGAGATTTAGTATTTTTCATAGTTGAAAGCGTGATTCAATTGAAGCTAGACAACCAGGGAAAATTTGGAAGCACTGGACGGCTGTTTCGTCTTATTGTGGGACTCCTCAACAGTGCGCATCCACGACCCTTCAATTGACTCACGCTTTCAACTAATTTTAAGTTGTTTAGTTAGTCAGCGATCGCACTTCTATGAAGTAAGTAAACACCATAAAAATTGTTGTTCAATGCTTCGCTGTTTGGAGTCATCTTTTTAATCGATCGAAAACCTTGTAACTTGTAAGTGGTTGTATTTTCTCGTTGATGTACTAAGGATTCCGACTGATCAATCACTTCTAGAATAAATGTATACTGAGAGGGTCCCCTTAATATTTCTATTTATATACAAGTTTTCAGTATTGTTGGATAATTCCTAGCAGTGGAATCCAGGGAGTCAGTTTCGACCTACCTGAAAGTCAACAGGTATAAGTACTTGAGCCCGTGTTGGTAAGCGCGTTCAAACTCGGATTCGATACCTTTTTCTTCAAATCCCTAATGCGTTATTCTAACCAGGACTAAGTCCATCTCTTTTATTCCATCATTAGTCACTATCTATCTTTTCTAAAAGTATGCTTTAATGAAACAGAATTCTTACTGAATTAAAGAAATATTGAAACAATATTTAACAAAACTGATAGAGTTATCACTGTCCATAAAATCGTTTTTAAACGAACTGATTGACTACTCACAAGTAGTTAATACTTTACAATTTCATTTTATAATGACTTCATGACTTGGTTTAGACTAAAATGTACTTTATTATCTTCATATTTTAACTCTGAATTTTTGAATTTCATTTAAACATATAATTAGTTTAAACTTCTGAAGAAGTTATAGAGATTAGGATGTTAGGAAGGTGTTCCTGGAGATTTTTACTGAAATAATGTTTTGGTACTGACTAAGAGGTGAGTTGCAAAGTAATTGAACAGAAATCTAACTGGACCTACGAAGTTAGACAATAAAACTATTGGATGCTGGCTCAGCTATCTAAAGGTTAAGTGTTTTTATGCGTAATCAAAGATGCTGGAATCTTATCCCGAATGAAGGGTCTTTGTTGCGACTTCTCTGGAGTCACGAACTAAGGTTCGAATCTCGAGAGATGGGATCGTGGATAAGCACTGCTTAAGAGTTCCAGGGCAGGACGAAACGGCCGTCCACTGCTTCCCTGTTTTTCATGGTGACCTGGCTTCAATTGATTCATGATGTCAACTATTAAAAATTACTATAATATCCACAAAACCCCTTCTGAAAATAACGGTATTATTTTTTTTCACAATAACAAATTTTGACATCTTAATTACAATCATAATATAAGTTCATTACTGTAAACTACTAGGAAAGTGTCATGAATTAATCTGTTACAGTTGCTAAGATCCAGTAAACCCTAAAATAATCTCAACAAACTCTAGTGAACGAGGACTCAAATAAAGACAACCAATCTGTTATTCTATACAGGAAAGACATTGACATAATTTCCTTCGTTTATTTATTCATGAATTCATAAGATTCAACAAACAAGAAAAACTATGTAAAAACAAACTTATAAGTAACCAACCCTCGAAATTCATCACAAATTTGTTTATCTTATTCAAATAGTTTGTTTCCTCTATAAGGAAAAAGATGAATAATGGCTAGCAGTGAAATCCAGGACACGTGTTTTATCCTATTGAAGACTCGTCAGCCAAATGTACCTGCATTTCAGAGTTGATGTCCATTCTGGGACTCAAACCTAATACCATTCGCTTCAAACATTATCATGTTATCCACTTAGCTACTTAGTCCTGTTAGCCATCTGCTTGTGTGATGAGGGAGGAAGTTTTAAATTCACTTAATGTTGTTTACTTGTATCTTCCTATGAATGCATATATGTCAATAAAAGACTGATTCATTGCAGTCCTAAATAACATTGGGAAGATACTAGTAAACAACATCAAGTGAGTTTAAATTCACTTAGTATTGTTTGTTTAAATCTTCCCATTGATGTTTAAGACTGCAACTGATCACTCGAGTCCCAAAGTGAAAATCAACAAGTCTGAGATGCAGGTACATCCAGCTGATGAGTCCCAAATAGGACGAAACTCGATTTTTGGATTCCACTGCTAGCCACTTTCCACCTTTACTTACAATCAAGCGAGTTTGTTTCCTCTTCCATAAAACAAATAAATAAACATATTGAACATGGAATATTAAGTGAACATATCTATAATGTTCTTGAATGTATTGATTGTAAGTAGTAACGAGTATATTCGCAAGCGCCTACGCACATACCTACATGTGCACTCCGCATACATATATACACACACATTTAAACATACATATACATTAAGTACATACATTTGCACACATATTAACATGTAAACAATAACACTAGTCGATCAATTTTTAAGATTTCATTTTAAAAAAACAAAAAAATTTCTGATGACGTAACAATATTGTTACTAAGGCAAAAAACAAAAAAAAGAAACAAAAATTTTTTTCTAATTTTTTCTACATAACTTCATTATATAATTAAATAATGTATATAATATAAAACTAATTAATTCAATAAATTCAAATAAACCAATTACAGATATACCAATCCATAAACCCATATTACCCCCAATATCTGATAATAATTGTGCTAATGAATATTCTTGTTCTTCACGTATTAATCTACCATGTGGACTATTACGTTCTATAGTTAATAAACCAAAATTATTACGTAATTCTGAAAGAATTTTTTTTGTTGATAAATTTTGACTACTTATAATATTATCAGTAGTTTTGTCAGTATTATCATTAGTAGTATTATAAGTAGTATTATCAGTAGTAGTAGTAGTACTATTTGTGAAAACATGATAAAATGTATTCATTAAAAAGGATATTCTTGCTTCATTATATGTATTACTCCATAATTCATTCATAATAATACGATTTATACCTAAATGTTGATAATAAATATCATCACAATAGGGTAAGTCACCATATACATCACATTGTTTAGCCTCCATTAAACTCATATATAGATTATCATTATTATACTTTTGATATACCCGATACATACAATCAATATTATTGATTAATTGTTTCTCATTAAATATTGACATATTTAAGCATAAAATTGGTTTTTCATTTGTTTGATTGTCATTATTATTGTTACCATAGTAACCTAAAGGTAAAAATGGATTATAACAATGACATTCATTCAAATATAAATATTGTGATAATATCCGATGACATAATTCATTTGAACCATAAATTAAACGTTTATGAATGAAATCACCATCATATAAAATAGTTGAAAATTTTTTGTCATTACATAAAGATTGGTAACTATGATGGTGATGGGGGTGATAGGGGTGATAATGAGGGTGGTGTTTTATACGTTTTATACGTAACATTTCTAATTTAATATGATGTATATAACCAGGTATTAATTCAATGGAATTGATATTAGGGAAATGATTTGGTAATGTTATATATAAATCAATTTGATGTGATGTATATGATGAATTAATAATTAAATAATTTTGATAATTAAATTTAATACCAAATACAAGTTTTTCTATACGTTGATAAATAGTTTGATTTAAATAACGTGAAATCTATAAAAAGAAGAAACAAAAGGGGGGGGGTAAGAATGTTAGATATTAACATGGTTGGATGTTGACTAGTTCAATGATGTAGAGGTTAAGTGTTCACATGAAAGACTGATAGGTTCTAGGTTCGAATTGAGTGCGTGGGAGATTGTGGATGTGCATTACTGAAGAGTCTTACACGGGGACGAAACGATAGTTTCCAAAGAGGTTTAACTTTAATTAACTCAAGAATTCAACTATTTTAAAAATATACATATATTTGTAGGGTAAAACACTTTTTCTATAAAGTTATGAAGAGTCTAGAGATAAACATTAGTTCACGAAGTTATTCATTGTAGGTAGATCCAAGCTATGTTGTTTAGGATCAGGATGATAATGGAAAACAATGATCTAAGACTTTAGATGATAGATAGATAGATAAAGGATAGATAGATGGATAGATAGATAGATGGAGGGATTGATAGATAGATAGATAAATAGATAGTGTGGGTAGATAGATAGATAGATAGATAGATAGATAGATAGATAGATAGATAGATAGATAGATAGATAGATAGATAGATACGTATGATAAACAAATACACAGATGGAGACAACCAATACTATTCCAATGCAAAATTATTGAGTTATTGCATCAAATGTAAAAATCATACGTTCAATACTTCATTCGGAAATACTCCTACAATTATCTTAAACAGCTTCGTTCTTCCATAGTCTTAATAATAATAATAATAACTCTCCGTTTCCGTTCTCCTTGAATCGATCTTTCTAAATTGCTGTTGCAAACGATTTCATTTCTGAGTAGAGTTATATATTACTTATATCAATATAAGTAGCTTACACCACATACAATGTTTATTTACATTTATCTGTCTATGGTATTTAAAATAGTCATCTTCCTTTTTATTGAAATCATGAACCGACCAATTAGGTTCATGATCAGAAATGAAAGTTAATAATCTCCATAACCCTATACTGATAACCA